GGGGGGGGAAGTTGCCCAAATTCTGTAAACAGGTTGTTTACTACTGAGTAGTGGGGAAAATGGTTACATGTGTGGGTCTGCGGGGGAAGAGCCATTAGCTGCCAGCAGCCATCTGGACCTGGTAATTGCAGATTGATGAGTCTAACCTAACTTAATTCTAGCATTATCAGTCTTTGGGTCCTCTGTTTAATTCAGTAGTGATTTTTTTTAGCCTTTCAGAGTACAGAAGTTACGGGATTGGCTTTTTTCTTTTCCTGTTGTTGTTTTTTAGACTTTATTTCATAATGAGTGGGATGTTTCCCCTTCTTTTTTTAACACCACATGCTGAATCCTTGGAAAGGAACCAAGCTTACTCATTCTTTCTTCCAGACAAATAGAAACAAATATTTAGTTTTAAAAGAAATAGAATGAAAAATCCCTTTAAAGCTCATGTATCTTTTTGATCCCGGAGCCGAACTGAGCTGTTTATGTAATTTCCTCAGCCTGAATTGCAGAATGGACAGGATTGAAAACATACTTGGAAGAGCTAGAAAAAAAAACGAACTCCAAAGGCCAGAAGACCTGTCTGCCTTCGGGCTTTTGTCATGCATGCCTAGGGCTAAGCTCTGCCTGTGGGCCAAGACCCTGCAAAGCACAGAGCTGAAGGGGAGATGCTGGTATTTCCAGGCAAGCCTGTCTCCTTCTGCACAACAGCCTGAGCACTGCTGCTGCTCTTTCTCTGGTGGGATGCCACCACGCCTGCGGGCAGCATGAGGTGCCTGGGGCTGGAGGGGGTGTCTGCCCCACATGATGCTCGCCTGGTGAGGGCAGCTGGCTTGGGAGTATGGGCTGCAAGTGCTGCAGGTCTTGTCATGGCAGGATGAGAGGGGAGCTTGACCTGCATCCTTGCAGGACCGATTTTTGCAATGGGTGTGCCCTATTACACCAGTCTAAGACGGAGCTGGTTTGTGATGTCTGGAAACGTGAGGGATAATGCAATTTAGCAAGTGCAGATCCTGCCTTTACTCAGCCTGTCCTCTAAGCACATGGTGGCTCTGATCCCTCTGTTTGCCCTCATTTGTAGGTACTTGTTTGTTCACCTGCAAGCCCATGAAGCTCGGAAAGGACACAGTTACTGCTCTCAGCAAGGCTGCGAACGTATTAAAATCATGGCGCATATGTACCGAGGGGACTCCTGGAGCTGTGACCCAAACCCCTTCCTGGAGAGGCCAGCAGCTGCCCAGCGCCCCGTGTCCCAGCACCCAGCTGGCCCGTGCAGGGCGTGTGGGGCCCCGCAGGTACCCGCTGCATGAAACAGCGCCTGAGGTTATGCAGTGTAGGTGCAACTACATGAGGTCAATTGGTTTTCATGGTGTACAAGGAGCAGCTGTAGGGAATTCCCACTCGTGAATCTGCCCAGTATCATGTAACCTGTGTAGAGGGAAGGGTTTTGCTCTGAATTTCTGCAGTATTTTGTATTATGCTTCAAAGATAGCCTCAAACAAATTGCCCAGCTGGAAGCATGGGAATGCTCAGTCATGGCACCTTTTTTTTCCCATTTGTTTCTTTTAAACAAGACTTTCAAAAAAGGACTCTTGAGAGGTCTCAGATTGGATTTGCTTTGAATTCCAAAGTAAAACATTACTGCTGAATTTCAAACTGGGAAGGAATTCTGGTTAATAGGAATAAATGGAAAAACAGAGCCAGATTCTCTCCTCATTTGCTGTATACACCCCACTCTAAATCCTGTAGAACTGTTTCACGCTCACACAGATCTGCGTTTGAATTTATAGCCAGGCAAAATATATGAAATTAATTTTCAACATCTAAAGTTACTTATTGGCGGAGTGACCATCAGAGGTCCCTTCCAACCAGCATTGCCATGATCTTTTGATAAATGGTGTCTTAACGATGAGCACTTACTTGTGAACCCGGATTACAGTTAGAAAGAAAGAAATCTTAAAGTTTTGTGGTCATATATATACGAGCATTGGTGAGGAAAACCAATTAGCAAGCCCGTTTTAAAGTTTCTGTCTCTGGTGTAATTGCAGCTTGCTATCACTAGCACGCCCTCAGTCAAGTATATAAGGATCCAGATCCAGTCTCTCGGCAGGGCGGACATGCAAAACCACTTGACATCTGCATTCATTAAGGTATGTTGTGTTTTACTGCATTTGAAATGGTGATTAAACAGGGAAAACTTTATCTCCAATGAAAGTTGCTGCAAAATCTTGCTGAGCCTTGGTGGAAGGAAATGGGAAGTTCCCCTGGAAGAGGCAAGTGCATTGTTCTCCCTTACAATTAACTCCATTAAAGTCACTGGGAGTTCAATTCTATTCAGATGAGGATTTGAGCCCTTAGGGAAAAGGCCTTTTATCACCTCAGAAGAAGAATTAACACCACCACTCTAATGTAGAGGAAGGGAGGGGAAAAGCACACCAGAAGTCATTGTTTACAAAGGATGTGGGGGAATAAACAAGTTTGTTTTTCTGACTTTTTCTGCTGGCATTGCACTAAAAGATAAAAATAACTATGTTTCACTACTGAAGGGGTTTTGAACTGTCAGGTTGTCCCTGCGCATGCCTTATATGTCTGTCTAGATGGTGAAGAGTGACTGAAATCATGCTTGCAAGGACGTTGTCCAGGCTTACATGGCTGTGTGCTGCTGAATTGTAATAAATGCTGACAAATGCCAAGCAAACCTGGTACAGCATCCTTAAGAAATCTGAGCAGCCAAGACTTCTTGCCACGTGTACAGGCTACATCATCAAAAATTTATTCAAAACCATTAGCAAGGCCTTACTGGAGGCAGCATTGTGACCTGCGGTGAAGTGCAGAGACCTGTGTGTGTTCAGCACTCATGGGACAGGCATAGCACCCTCCAAGCTTCTTTATCTTTTCTAAAGTTTTAACGCAAAGTATTGTTTTTCAAAAGAAGTTTTATTTCTGACACGTGTACTCCTAGCTGAAGTGACAGCTGGGCTAAATGATAGAGATTAATGTCTAAAGGAAGACCCTAAATCTTAAAAGGTGTGGGAAATTCGGAAATAGTAAAGTTGAGGAACCCCCACTACCGAAGCACATGTTTTGTTCTTGTTTTGCTGAATGAAATGCAAAAGTCAGAAATGTTTTATATTTATGATCCAAGCTTCCCTAAACACTGAGTGAACCGGGTGTGGTGGTGCCCTGCTCCATCTCCCATGGGGCCACGAGAGCCCTTGGGCTGGCTCCTTGCCGGGTCTGCAGCATGCAGACAGGGGCAGAACACACAGTGGGGCTGTTTCTTTTGCTAATGGCTCATGTTTAGGCTGTTTTGCAGTGGTGGTTGCTCTCTGCTCCATGTGCATCCAGACTTTGACACACTTCCCAGGCTGAGGAGTCTGAGACAGCCAGGACCAGGCAAAAGGTTTAGTCTGTCTTTGCTCCTCCTCACTCCCCTCTGCCCACCCATGGCCCAGACATTCATGTTTGCCTTACCCTTGACCCCCTATTGCACTCAGCATCCTCTGACATCTTGCAGAAGCCACTTTTTAACACTTGGCTTCCTCGTTCGGTCTGGCCCTATATTCCCTGGAGGCATTCACATGTCTCAGATTGATGGGGTGTATCTGAGCTCCCTGGTGCCTGTGCCCTATTGCAAACTGTGGATTACAGTGGTGTTACAGTGGTGTGTTGTGTATCCTGGGCTCAGCTTTCTGACAGCCTGACCTTGGTATGCTGTTGCTCTCCTTGGTGGAGGTTGTGTCTGCCCAGGCTGGGCTGCACCTGGGTTGCTGAGGAAATGCACCAGTGCCGGGCACCTCAGAGAGACTTTGCCTTTCTAAAAGGAAATACTGCTCACATCCTGAGAGGTGTAACCTGGGGAAGGAGCACTTGCTGTAGGAAAGGAGAAGAGTAGGACCCACTTGTGCTACAACTTCTTGGAGGCACTGGGGCAGCCCGACCAAGAAGGAATATTTTAGTTTTGATATTTACATTTTCAGGGAAAACAAAAAAAAGATCCATGTGTCGCTTCTATTCCCCCATCTGCTGTCTCAGCACCTCCCCCTCTTCCTCCGTGGTCAAATCTGCTTTGCCAAGTGACAGTAATTTCCCCCACATGGAAACAAACTGTATTAAGACTGAACCAAACATTTTACTCCCAGGATTCTTGGCTTCCCAAATCTATCTTCCTAACACACAAAAGATGCCGATGACCTAATTTCTGATGTTTTTGTACCCTATTGAGAACTAAGGGTTTTGCTTCCCTCTGCCACTGACCATCTATCAGTGATGTCACTTCATCTGTACTAATTATACATTAAAAAATATAGGGTGTACACCCTTGATATTTTTCTTGCTTGTAACTGCCTCATGGAGAAGCAGGATCAGAGTCTGAAGCTCCCCAGCCTGCCTCCATAAAACCTACTTCTGTTTTTTGTTGCAGATAAATGACACAGTTTTCCTGTTCAATAGCCATGGGATATTCTTCGTGGTGCTAGATGCATGTTCAGGAGCAGTCGTGAGTAGGCGGCACTTTGACACAGTTACTGGTGAAAACGCCGTCAGTGCAATAACTGATTATGTTCAAACATTTATAAAAGAGAGGTAAGCAAACTGCTGAGAGCCCTGTTCATGTAGCAGCCCGTGGCTGATAGACAAAGAAAGGAAAATTACCTACTTTCATAACCAAACCTGTGCTCTGAAGAAATCTGGCACAGATTAAATAAGTACAAATCCCTAATATCACCCAGATAATATGAGAAGCGGCGTCTCTCTCCCAGGATTGCACAGATTAGAGCAGATAGAGACAGGTTTTCTGGAAAACTGGCAATTCCTTCTAAATTAACCATTGATTTTCCAGCATGGAGTAGATAAGGTCCTAGCAATGATATTTGCCATCCTGCGCACCTATCCCCGTGTCCAGCAATTTCCTGGCAGTCAATGATTCAGTTTCCATTTCTGAAATGAGTTGGTTTCTGTTTGCTCTTACTGATTGTTTTTGCCTCTTGTGGCAGATGAAAACCATAGATGTGCCAGATTTTCCAATAGGACTTTTCTTGGGCTAGCCAACAAATAGACGCGCCTGCCTGCGGGCTCTGTTACCTTGCGTGTGTCCTGGCAATGGTCTGGATGATCTCTGTTTGTGTCTGTCCCACATTCTTTGTGGTTTCATGTGTCGCCACTTAAACACAGAACAACAGAGATTTATAGATAAATTCTTGGCTGCTGGCAGAAGCAGGTCAAATAACCAGAAAACAGACTTTCAGTCCAAGACATTTCTGAGCAGTTCATGACCAAAGATTTGAACGCTCCTGAGTTATTACATCTGTGTTTATGCACATGAGCACGTACATGTATCAAACATGCATGAAGTGACACATATCCGTATGATGCCTGTACATGCGGTTTGCTTTTCTGGTAGGATGTGTATTTTGCAAGTCTAGGCATTCAGCGAAGTGCAAGCAGTTGTGCAACCTGTAATTCACTGCAGGTATATTCACTGGGGGCTGAAAGCACATCTGTGAGGACCAAAGCCAAGCTGAGGCTTGACTGAAAATCAGACCCAGGACATAGATGGTTTGAGAGTCTCAGGACTGCACAGAAACTGAATTTCTTCTGCGGCTGAGTTTCCCTCTCCTATAAGGGATGCACACATAAACAGCCATTTGCGCCTGTTTTGATTCCATGTGAAGCATGGGTTTAATTTAGGAACATTTAAGCAGAGGCTTAAACTTAGGAAAGCTTATATGTGACTGAAATCAAAGGGATTTAAGCATGTTCTTAAAGTTAAGCAAGCTCTTAAGTACTGTTCTGAATTGGAGCTTAAAGGTCTTGTGGATTCTTAATGAAGTAATATTTTGCAATCATGCAGTAACTACTGTCCTTCTTTTCAGATCACTTGTTCTTGTGTGCTCTAGAGATATTGCAGACGTGGTGGGGAGCTCTGAAATGTCTGTTTTTACCAGGTTAGGTTCAGCAAAGCCTGTTGTCTTCCATAAGGAAGGTAAATGTGTATTCTACAATGTTTCTTTTGCTTAAGCATTACTGGTGTGTTTCCTACCAAAAATGTACACATACTTAATATAGTGCTTGTCAATATATTTCCTATAACAATGTGCCAGTGTAACCTAATAAAAACCTCTTGACTTAGGGATGGTAAGTAGAAGAGTTATTTTGAGGTCTTGACTCTACTTCACCAGTGAGAAGCTGCATGCTGCAGATTTTTCACCCTAAAGGGAGCTCATTTTTCTAACAGCAACAACAAAGAGAATACTTTGATTAAGATTCCATCACTAAAATTCAACAGCTTTGCAAGGAAAAACAATCATAAACCGAAAGGTTGATGAAAAAGAAAATAGCCTAAAGTGAAACAGGAGCTATTTATTTTTTTTTGAATAGAAGGAAGGTGAAGTCCCCTAGTTTGGAGAGTTTTTATCACAATTTTTCCTTGGATTGCTGCAAGAAGTCCTTTGGTATCATTGGTCCAGGAAATCTATTCTGGGTTTCCTACTGGAAAACTGGGGTCTATTAAGTCCAGGTTTGGATGAACAATTTGAGTGATAAGGAAATCAAGAAAACAATGAGCCAGCTTGATGCGGATTTCATTTGCAGTCTCTCAAGCAGAAATCAGATGGAGAATTGGCTGTTTTTCCAGCTTCTTTTTTTTCCTTGGGGGTTTGGGGATTTTTTTCCCTACTGCTTTACTGAAATTTGTGTCAGTTTCTGGTTCATGTTTCAAAGCTCATTGCTATGACCATTCTGGGGGAGGACAGCATAGTCTTTACAGCAGAGACAGTGAGTTAACTTCAGTGATTTTTTGATTCCTGAGAACCTGTTTTTCCTTTCATTCTTCTAAAAGCCAAAATCTGAGGGTTTCTCTTTTGTTTTTATCCTGAAACTTCATTGCTTCATTCTTTCATCAAAGCCCTGAATACTTTTGAAAGGAATTTTTTGATTAAAAAGCAATCTTTTTTTTATTTGTTTTGTCAAACTTTGTTCCCTGGGCCACCTGTGCCGCTTGCTTGGGCACTTCCAGGTTGTTTTGGTTCAGCCTCCTGCTCTGACTGCTCCTGGGGCACAAAAGCAGCAAGCAGGGCCACCGCCATCCTGGGGCCACAGCGGTTGGTGGCCATCTCCTTGCCCTGCCACTTCAGTGGGGTATTAGTGTCTGGCGGTGGGACTAAGTCGCTGCTGGCCGATTACGTGCCGCCCCTGTTTTGCTTTTCCTAAGGGCAAGGGTGTTCACCCACGTGTCTGCCCTGATTTCCAGTCTGGGTAATTATGTTCTGCTTCATGAGCTTTCTCCCGCTGATTCAGGTATGCACGCTATTTGACTTCACAGCTCCAAAAGCGATCGCACACAGGACTGGTCTGCGCTGGGGGTGCTGTGTTTCAGGGCAGGCTGCAGCATTTCTCCAAAGTGCATATTGCTTCTGCCAGGGATAATGCAAAATAAACCTGATCCTCTTGACCCCAGCGGGATCAGGATTTAGGGTCTTGTTGCCTGGTTTTGCAAAACCTTATTTAAATTAGAAGTGTTTACGGGAATAGTCTTGATCCAACCAGCTGCAAATAGCCTTGGGAGTCTTTGCAATGAAAAATATAATATAAACACAAGACATTATTATTAAAATGGAAGAATACATAATGCCTTTGTACTTTGTGACAGCAGAGGACCAGAGCAGAGTCGACATGGGGGATAGTTTAGGCATAACAGGAAGAAACCGATGTAAACTAATAAAAGAAGGATTCAAAGCACCTAACCATTTTCATGCAGTCCAGTATGAAAGAGGACCAGTCTATCTAAAAATAAAGAGTAAAACAATATTCTTGCTAACTGACATCTAGGTACCTATCTTAGCTTATTGAAATACCTGCAGATCTGTGATGCAGCGAGGTTATGGCTTCAGCAAGGCTCCTTCCTCTTTCATTCACCCTTTTTGTCTCCTAAATGTTGTTATTTTAATCCAAAATAAAAAAAGAAGGGTTAAGAAGTTTCTGTGATGCGTGGAGGGAGTCCGTGCTGTGCTGCTAATAAGTGAAACGACCCATCCAGAGGATCACTCTCTTTGTGTCTGTTTTTTCAGGGAGTTTTGCCATGCTTGGCTATAAGGGACAAGCCAAACCCTCCTGGATTAAAGTCGTTAATCATGCTGGTTATCAGAAAGCTGCTTCTCTACAGCATTATGTTCCCTTGAAGCTGAAAGAATATCAATGTCCAGCTAAGGCCGAAGAGTCACTAAAATTCGCTTTTTCTCAGAACCACTCGGAGCATATCTCTGCAGAGGCTGTGGCACCCCGGGATTAGCATCACTGGGGCAGCACCAGCAAGACAAAGCCTGCCGTCGTCACCAAAGCCTGCTCTTGTTTTTACAGGATTGTACCAAACCAATGGTGTTCACTTGTATATTTGATTACTAATAAATATATTCTCATCTTACTCACTGTGGTAGAGCTTTATTTTTCAAACAGTGCCTCACAGGGCAGAATAGGAAAAGCCTGCAGGCTGCCCTTCCCAAGGAGAAGTGTTTCAAGATATCTACGATTTGGTATCAAAAGGTAAGTTTTAAAGGCAAGAGCCTGCTCTCTGGTATCACAGGGACATGGAAACCTTAGCAACATCCAGGGAAACAGATGAACAACAGCAGAGGTAGGGATTCTCCCTTCAGTCCTGTTTTGCCTCTGCTAATGTCTGCTTTAAGAAACCTGAGTGTCCATCTGCTGTGGCGTCTTAGGTGAACTCAGAAACCTCTGCTTGGTAAGCATGCACTGATCTTACGATAATACCTTCTAATCGAACTGAATATATAGGGTGCATCATGGAGTTATAAATGTGCTTCTGTCTGTAGCTAATGACTGGTGAATGACGTTTGTCCAACTGATGTGAGCATTTAATTAAAGAAAGACCTACAGGAATAAAACCCCGGGTAAGGTATGTGCTGCGTAGGGTAAAGTCTTGCGTTCCTTTCACACAATGCTCGTATTGACTTTCTGCTCCCATTGAGGACTGAAATACTGCCAGTATCAGTGTCTAATTCTCTTTGATTTTTTGTTTATGCTGCTGCTTTTTGAAGTAAAGGCAAAACCAGAGCTTTGTATGCAAACCGAGAAACAACTGATGACCTCAGTGGCTACAGTTTAAGTACAAAGTTACCCTGAAATGATGACAAACTCATTTTGGTTTGAACATGATGTTACTTGGTGACAGCAGTGAAGGGGCAAGTGATCCAAATTATCCATGTCTTTGTCACACGGGTTACTCAAACAGGTAGGTGTAGGCTTTGTTATTAATGTCCCGTCGTTTCTTTGGAGTTCTCAGAAATGGCCAAACATGTTGCTACAGGGAAAGGTTAGTGGTTTTTTGGCCAGACTTTTGCTCCCTGGTGAGTTAGTCGCTCTGGCATCCGTGCGCCGGCCAGCTGATATTGTGCCTCAGAGTGGGGACTGAACTCCTCAGCCGGGACGCTTGCCTCCATCAGACATATAAAGCCTGGTGGTCCTTGGACGTGGAGCGAGAGCACACCTGAAAGGTTTGCAGGCAGAGAAGGAGACCGTGGCTCCATCGCCACACCAGGTAGGAGAGATGCGAGTCGGGTTTGGCCAGGGGAGAGGTCCTGGTTTGCTAGAAAGTGTAAAGAAATCACTGATGCTGCTTAGTAGAGATCAGATAAAGAGAGATGCACAGGGCATCATGGGCCTGTGCTGGTCCCCGCAGGGAGTGACAGGGACTGATGTCCTTGGTGGACACAAGAAGTGGTATAAGAGCCTGAGGGGCTGTGACTGACCATCTAAGGAGCTCCCCGAAGTCCTTTTGAACTCCTATTAATACCTAATTGTTATGATTTCTGAGGCCGTGCAGGGGAAGAAAAGCAAGATGTTTTTGGCTTGTGAGCGTAAGCCCAACATTGGAACAGCTACTTACAGAGCAAGTTTTTAGCTTCTTGGAGATTTATTTGATAATCTGTGGCAGGTCCAGACCCTGGATCCCAATAAAACTTCGCAGAGCTCTAACCCCAGGCTGAGACTAAACAATTGGCAAAGGAAAAGCCTGGTGAAGGAAAGAGAGGAATGTGCCTAAACCTCTGAAAAATCTCTATTCCTCCTCCCGCCTCAGAAGGAGAGCAAATGGCAAATGTCCTGGAAAGGAAGGCGTGGAGCTGTGGCAAGCCAGATGCAAACAGTGAAGTACCACAAAAGCAAAAAGAAAAATATTTACATCCTGATGTAGTTCTTTGGGTAGTTAAAAGCGGCAGTTTGAAAAGGATTCAGGATGCTGTGATCCTCTTCAGCCGCTGCACACACTTTCCTCACCTTGGGAGGGAAAAAAAGACTTCAAAACCAGGGGCGCTCTGTAGAGGGTACAGTTCCTCCATGGACCCTTGGGACATTCAAGAAGACGTTATCAAAGGTTACCACTAACTTGGCATGCACCAGAAGTCTGTGTGTGTGAAGCTGTGGGGGTAAGTGTCGCGTGGGTGTTGCGTTTGTGGGAAGCTGTTGTATTCCTCCCAGGGAATTCCTGAGAGGGAGGATCTCCTCCCGCATGCTGGAGTCCACATGGACTGTGCGTGGCCACGTGGCCCTGCAGCTCATCCAGGCGTGTTCAGTACACCTAATGCATTCAGGACATACAGCCGTCCTGGTTATCCCCAGAGCATTTCTGTAGTGGGAAAAGAGTAGTTCTGGCACTCCCTGAGAACATTACCTTGGCTCTGTACTGAGTTACTGTCAGCAGGCACAGCAAAGCCAGCGCACCCTGCGCCTCTGAAAATGGGGTTCAGCTTCCCACCACTTTGATGCTTTGAAAACTTTATGCGGTGGTTAAGGGTTTAATTCAGTGAAATGCTGAGCACTTCGAAAGCATGTGAAACTGGGAGTCAGTCAGCCTGGGATGGGTGGAGTGATATGAATTGCAAATAATTTTGTTTTAGCTGAGCCAAAAATTGCTTCCTTTCCTTTTCAGGGTCTGTAAGCCTCTGCAAAAAAAGTTAATTCTGGAAAAAAAGCATAGCTTTAAAATAACTCTCCCCCCCCTTTTTTTTATTTCTGCCTCAAAATAGCTTGCCAATATTACAACAAATTTGCAAACACTTTAGTTTCTTTTAATTTATTAATTATAAAAATTTCCTCTAACTGCTGCTCTTTGTTCCGAATCTGGTTTTATGAACATTGGGAATCAAGGAACTTGCAGTGATGTTTATATACAGAATACGTGAGCAGAACCTTCTTCCTTTTAGGGAAAAACGTTAGATGACTTTATAAGAAACAAAGGTTCATTGGGAAAAAAGTTAGAATGCTCCTTTTGACTCCAGTGTTGATTTCATTGAGAAGTAAAGTCTGTTCCTGATTTTAATCTTCCGTTACTTGCCAGTAAAAAAGAGCAGATAGTGGCTGGGCAGCAACCACAAGATTAAGATGAAGAGCAGAGGCACCTATGCTGCTGTCATGTGCTGGGACTGGGAAAGCATATTCATTAGCAATCCCTAGAAATGAGTTTATTTATTTGTAAAGCCGTCTGAAGGCTTTAGCTGTGCTTTTGTCTGGGGGTGCGAAGGCTCCCCCTGCACAGGAGTGTAACTGTTTCAAGAGCTGGAATGTCCTTTGGTCAGAAAGGCAAATGTGCTCCTCAAATCCATCCTCCCAGCTTGGGCTAAAATGCAAAATTCCCTGAGTGGGCTGAGAGGACAGTCACTGCCATGCGATGTCAGCAAGAAGGTAGCAGAGGCGCTAATTAAACAGCTCCTCCTTCTCTCAGGAATCAACTTCCAGATGATATTGGCTTCTTTGCATGTGAATGAGGACACATGCAGCAAGGCTTCAGACCTAACCATCAAACTGCTAAAACCTCACCATCAGCTGCAGCAGTGGGAAGGTCAAGGTTTGGTCAGCCAGAGCGTGAGGGGTGCCCCATGGCCCTGGCACTGCCCCATCTGGGTCTCCTGGAAGTTAGTGCAAATTGCTCTCTGCTGAGAGTTCTGTCCCCATCAGGCTAAAAGGTGCCTTTTTTGTGTAAGTTTTTCCTGTTCTTCTCCGGGGACAGCTCTGGATCCCCTTTTTGCCCCCACGCAGGTCTGTGGTCTCTCTTGCTGGGCAGTAACAGCAGTAGCAGCCATCAGGTTTCTTGCTCCTGTTTGACATCTTTTTCAGGTGAGGTCAGGTAGCTTCTGCTTTCCTCCTGTCCTTGCTGTGTCTGTAATGGATGGTTAATATTCCTGTTATGCCCCATTTGACATACCAGAAAGGAGCCTCATCTTCAGCAGATGCTGAAGGTACATGCTCCAAAGTGTGTCAAGCCAGTCTTAAAAAGCACTTTAAAATACCCAATATCAGGAGTTACTTTTTTATAATTTTGGTGCCAGGCTTAGGTGGCTGGCCTAGAGTTGTGCAAGGTGGCAAGTCGAGGTCAGAGACTGGTATGCGTTTCTGAAAGGCTGGCTATGCTGCCTCAGAGACCTCTGCTCAGCCCCTGGGATTTGGGGGTCCATGTGACCCCACCATGATGCCTGTGACAATCCAGCTTCCTCAGAGCATTTCTTTGCTGTTTTGCTCTCAGGACTATCTGCTCTGTGTTGCCTCCAGAATTAAAACTGCAGGGAGGGTGGCGGATAGGGATTCCTATCTATGCAGCACACTTTCTAGTACAGTATCACTGCTGACACCTGCGGTAGCAGCCAGCTGAGGACTAATGGTTTCCTGCATCTACTTTTAGCATTGTCTGCTGCTATTGTTCACTTTTTGGAAAGATCCAGCAGCTGGGAATCATTTCAGAAAGTCTGCCTTGCCAGATCCAGGGATATGAGTCCCACTTGCCATTGCCAGGCAGCTTTTAATGGCTAGATGAAAAAGCTTTTCGCACCCAAGAGAGGAGTCACAGATGGTATTTGAGAAATGTTGGAGATGATAGACTTAGGAAGACACTTGTACGGCCCTTACGCTCTCAGAGTGCCCGAATCTGCAGGGAAATTTGTTGACATTGCTGGTTACATCAGAGCTGAAGTCAGCCACGTGGCGCCTGTTCAAGTGAGATGTAGTGTATTCCTGTATTCCCACGTGGCTCTGAGCGCTGAGCTAACGAAACGGCTGGCTGGCAGGAGATAACTGCTCCCGAGTCCTCTCCAGCAGGAGACATTAATGAAAAGAGTCACTATCTCTTCCTCCTCTTATATTTAACAATAAAATCAAGCATGTCACTGTTTATGTCTAATATTTGGGAAAGATGCTTAATTGAAAGCCTCTGAAGGAAAATTCCTGAGATTATCCTCCAAGCAGCATTTTTCCGGCACTGGGTTAGTCAGAGCTGAATCAGAGGAGTAGGATCCTCTTGGCCCTCTCGGCTCTCAGCCTTTCCAACCCGAGTGCCAGTTAATACTAACACTGCAATGAACTCGGGCTCGCCGCGAGCCGAATCAAACACTCTACCTCAGTCACAAAATAAGCAGGATATTCTTTGGACTGTGGCAGATCAGACACTACAAAAACACTGGAGCCTGGCACACAACTGATGCCTCCAAAAATGACATGACTTTCCAGTGTCTGATTCTTGTTTTGATCTCTGCTGATGAAGATGGATGTAATTGGGGAAGCAGTCCCCGGTGAGCAACCGGGGATATAACAGCAGAAGCCATTTTGCACAACTTGATGGTAAGTACTGTGCAGTCCTTGGCTCTAAAGAAAGCAAAGGCTGTGAAATTTCTTAAATTTCCTACCAGATTGCTACAGGTTACTGTCAGAAACAAGATCATGAGCTGGTCAGAGCAGAGATGCTCCTCTGAGTTTTTAATGAGCCAGAACAAAGAAATTTCTTTGCTACCTACAAAGCAACAGGAGAGCAAATGCATGCCATCACTGTCAAAAAATCAGTCCCTTCTTTTTATTTCTGTGAACTCATCTGAATCTGTTTTATGACCACTACCTTACCAGTTAGAATCTGGCTTTACGTGACACTAACATACAGCTGTGTCCTTACTATGAAAAACACTGTTTATCTGCAATGACCATCCTGTGGTATTACCACTTGTTTAGTTTTTCTTCTAGCATTAAAGCATAATCTAGTGATTGGGTTTGCAGATTAGGCTGTGTAATAATCGCTAATAAATCTTGACGTTTTAATGGTGACTGCTGTACTTTGGGCGTACCTCTAATAAAGTTCCTTTAAAAGAGGCTGGCTTATCAAATGTTGATGGTTAATGCTGTTAAAATGTCAGACACGTGCAGCCTGGTTCTGGTACAAATTCCATGGTGACGGTATTGCTCTCTGATAATATATATCATTCAAAGTTATAACGTTACTAAGTGCATTCCTCTTTTCTACTGCTCTGTAACAGTATTTCAGCACCTGATAGACTGTACCAAGCCCTGAGTCTATGCTATTTCCAGAGCTCACAACCGTTAAATACACCTCACCAAAACAAGCAAGCATTTTCCTGCTGGAATATTTCCTGACAAATCTGATTCTAACACTATTTTTAATGCAATCATTGGATTACACATGGTTTGAATGTATCATTGTACTTTGAGCTATATTACCTTTATAAAAAGTACAGACATGTGTTTTGCATACCCTGTAAAATTTGCTCCAGACTAAATCCTGGCTTCTTGCATATCTTTTTCTTATGTTTTTGGTTTGGTTTATATTAACAAGTGACATGAAAGATAACATGTGTTTTTTGCCCTAAAGAAACTAGGGCAGCCTGGATTTTTTTAATTTGCGCTTTTTTTGCGTCTAAGCTGTGTGATGCATACGTTTATCCTATTTCATCATTGTGATGTGACACGACAGCTACAAATAAATTTCTTCGATATTCCTCAGACACAGGCTTACATGATAAAACCTAACAGCTCCAAGGACTAGATGTGAATTTTAAATAGTGCCCTATGAATACAGAAGTGGGTGTCCTTGCCTCAGTGCGAATACACATGTCAATAAATTGTCATGAGCACGGGGCAGAGCTGCAGAATCAATCACTGGAGGCTGGAGAGGATCACATTAATTCTAACTTTGACTTTCATGACACTACTTGTTTGTTTTTGCTGGGGGTTGGCCACTGAAGAAACAAAACCAACATTAAGTAGACTGTTTTCAAAAGCAGCTTTTAGTTTTGCAAGAAAATTCTGAGCTGGCACGTTAAATAGACAGTTTTCTTGGATCTGAAATCTAAGAAACTACATGCTTCAGGTTGGAAGTGTGAGTACAGTTTATCTTGGGGGTGCACAAAATACCATTGCTAAAAATGTGTGGGTAGTAAGGGGGGAGAGAGGTGCCATTGAAAGGTTACTTTGTGAAAATTTGTCACTCTGCAAACGCCCTCCTTGTTGTGTTTCATTATTTTTTTGCACATATGAATATGCAGCCCTAGAGAGTCTTGACACTCGATGTGTTTCTACTGCATTCTTAAGGTGTTTTTTGTTACATCTGGTGGTTACTTTCTGAGTGTCTATTTGGATTCCCAAGGGGGTTTATCCTAGACCAAACAAAGGGTGAGGAGCTGCCCATGGCTTCTTGCTTTGTTCGGGCTGGTCCTGGAGTGGTGTGATGACTTTCTCAGCCATAGAGCTGAATGGGAGTGGAAGTGGTCTGGCATAAAGCTGAATATAACCTATTTTGTGCAGTGAATGTTTTTTGCATGAGCTGGAAAAAAATGTGACATTTGCTTGATATTCTTTATTCACAGATATCCATTCACAGAATTAAAAATCCTGAAGAATGGCTCTACCTACCTCGAAGCATCTGGCTGAAAATTTCATTTTTCTTCTGTTTGTAATTGCTTCTGTAAGCACAGGTAAGTTTTCCTCCATGGCAAAAAAGGGCATGGTTTATAACACTGTTTTTAAACAGAGACATTGCTGGTTTAGATTGAGCAGATTTCACTCTGCTTCCTAGAAGAAGACTCAAGGACAGAGTGAGAAAACTCAGGAGAAAAGCAGTTTTCTGATGTGCTAATACTGCCGATCGAGGGCAGCTGGAATGGCAAAGATTGAAATTTCTGAGCAGGTGAAAGTACCCTCAGGAATCCCACAGACTCTGCCATGAGTTCCTAAAACAAACCCAAATCCAATGAACTGCCACAAAGAAATAACAAAAGAAACCTCAGGTCCTAATAGCTGTGGCTGTGGGAGGCGAAGGCGAACATTTTGCTGCATTGCCCAAGTCCAGATGTGGACAGCAAAAAACTCGGTGCGGGGGAACACATCCCTGCCCCTTGGGTTTTGTGTCTTCCAAGTAGTGCTTTTCCTAAGCAGTTAGGGAAAGGGGAAAAGGAAAGCTGGGTATACATATTCTAAATACAGCTTATTTGGGGGTTTGTACTTGTTTAAAACAAAGAGACCATATGTCTTGCCCTAAATGCTGTAGCTGCATGAAGCAACCTTTCATTGCAATGCTCAGGCCCATTTGGTTAAGAAGCAAAACATTCAGTTAATTTCTTGTGCTGGGTAAAAGTTGTACTCTTATTTAAAAAATTACAATGAGAGTAATAATCCAAGCTGGCAAGGTACCTGGGCCAGCTGGCAGAAGATGCTCAGCCCTCTGGTGTCGGTGCAGCAGGTGCAGGTGATGTGCACAGCTCCTGCTTGCTGGTACAAATTGGTTAATGAAATTGGGAATTTGGGTCCTTTGTTCTGAATTGTGTTGGCTTTTGCTGATTGTCATCCCAAATATCAGCGTAAATTCCTCTTGATTTCCCCTTAGGCTTCACTGTCTACCTCTCTGTTTCTAAATAATGAATTTGGGGGGCAAAAGTCATCTTTTGAGACTGCAGGAAACCCTTTTGGACACTAGCATAGCAAGTAAATGGAAAAATGAAGAAGCTTTTATCCTGTCAATTTAATTTAGTTGATAAATTATACCTCTACATTTGAATCAATTCTTTTGGTTTTATTTAGCTTCTCATCATGAGCAATTTTTTCTATTATGCTTATTCCTATAGGAATAACAGCTCATTATTTTGAATTTGTTGTCAGTGTGTCTTAAGGTTATATTTGAACATCTATTTACAATCCATTTCCTGCGTGAAATACTTGTCTTTTCCAACTCTTATTAATTCTGTGTGTCTTCTGGTAGGAACCCAGAAACTCCTTGTTTTCCTCAATTACTATAAATTGGAAAAAGTGCCTCTGACATTACTGGTACACTTCCAGCTTCCATCTGGCACAAGTGGTATTAAAATCGGGTCCTGGATGTTTATCAGTATTTGACTTGCTACCTGGTAGATTATTGGCCCTCTCTGGTTTGAACACTTCATGTATATGGAAAAAGTTCGCAGAGAGCCAAGGCATATGTTGCCCACATGAAATGTCCCTTGCTTACCTTCAATAGCTGGTATTTAATGGGTCTCTGGAGATATTAAGGCACTGACTGGTCCAATTCTATTGTTTTCTTAAGACATGAAACTGGTGGAAGAATCTGAGAGGAAACTGAATGCAGATGCATAGATCTTGTTTCTGTTGCTGTGGAATCATAGATGTCCCTCAAGTTTCACAGCAGCACACAACAGCTCGCTGTCAACTACACCAGCACTGGGACGTGTTTCCTCGCATGGATTCACATTGTTGTCCTTTCCATTAACTGAATGCATTGTGGGGCAAACCCCATCCAACTTTACTATACTAAATGCCAGAGACATAACCCTGCTGAAGTCAAGGTGTTTATCCCATGTCTATTATCACTGATTTGTGGATCCTGTAGTTTTCCTATGGTGTTCTTATTTCAAAGGATAAAACCTGGAGAGCTGGTGAGAACTCCCAAACTTTTCTGATGGTAAAGGGCTCATTGTTCAAACTTCCACTGACCTCAGCTTCCTAGGATTAGAAAGGTTTCTACCCTCAGAAAATATGCATCACACATGGGACTCTTGCAGTCCCAATTTTGTTGATTAGAGTAAGATGTGAGGTTCACATATCGAGTGAGATTACATCAGGGAAATATTTTATCTTAAGTAAATACTTACAACATGAGACTCTTCTATTTGGTATGAGATCCATTTAGACTAACACGTCATGGCAGTCCGTAATCAAATTTGTGTGTGGAGACTGGTGATGTGTGAACCCAAAGTGAACGAATCCTTATTGCTTCTGCCTGGACAAGCTCACAAGCCCAGAGTCTCTCTCTTGTGAGATTCCAGTTGCTCTCTGTTACTGGGTGGACTGCTAATTCCTTGGTGCTTGGTGTTTTCATGTTAGTTTGAGCACTTTTACTTTCAATCTCCAGTGAAGACAGTATGCAAACATATTTTAACATCTTTACATTAAACAAAGCTTTTCAAACCTCACCGGTATTTTGGGGCCATTTCTAAAGGTAGTAGTTGTTTTATCCTTTCACCAACGTCTTCCCTGGGCTTGTGAAAGGCCTTGCGTCTGCATGGTATGAATGGAACTGAGTGTCACTGCAGGAAGGCTCAGCTACAGCCTCTTCTCGGTAGTTTTCTGGAAACTGCATCCCTTGCAAGGCTCCTTTGCATTGGATAGTGGGTTTTTCCATGCTTCCAGAAAACAGAAAACCATACAGCTTAAGCTGCTGTTTGTTTTCTTTTGGTTGTGACCCACAGGTACCCTGCTACACTGAAATATTTCTGTGTTCCAGGGAGTCAGCAAAGGGGGGGTACCAAGAATGATACTGTAAAGATGCCCAGATATGGAGCTTTCTGTCTTGCACTGAACAAACAGTAATTGTCTTCACTCTCCATCTCTGCCCAGAAGAAGCAGCTGTTGCATGTCCTGACAAGGATCCTGAGTTAGAAAACTGGAACCCAGGTCACAACGAAGAAAACCGCGTTGAAATCCGTAATGGCAGGAAGCTCCTTCTCTCTTCTTCTGCGACTGTCCACTCTATCCACATCACTGATGGAGGTAAAACGTGCTGGTGGCAAGCTGGGTGAAGTGTGATTTCCACTGTGGCTGTTTAAATCACGCCACATGCTGGGAGAGCTTCTTGCTTTTTAGTGGGAACTGGGTGGCTACTGGACAAACACAGCTTTACTTCAGTACAGGAGTGGGTGGTAGCTGAGAAACTTCCAGTTCTTTAGCCATTATAATCAACCTATTTGCTGTCCTTTCTGGAGGCTTTATGAAAGTAGCTCAGTATACTCACTAGTTCTACTTCTGTGATTTGCTTCAAAACCAATTTTTTACTAAATTGTTGTCCTGATAACATCATTCTGCAATAGTTGTGTTCTCAGGGTCTAAGGACAGGGCAGATACATATGTACCTCTTTGTCTTTAAGGACAGAGCCATAGTGTTGCTGGTGGCTGTTAGCATGAATAGCTTTTATTCATCTTAACTCTGAATTTCTGTCTCAGTTTTGAGTGAGTCCTCTTCCAAGCAAATCTTAATTGCATTCTTCAAGAATTGGATTAAAAACATGTAATGTCTTTAGGATTTGTATTGAGAGCTGATTTGGGGAGCATTGGCAGAATTTTTCAAAAATTGAGATGAGAGCCCAGCACTGGGTTTAGCACAAAGGTATCACAATCTTTGATGAGCTGCTGTGTGTTAAAATAAATGTCATAACCTTTTCCACTTAGGAAAACTGGTCATTAAAGACGATGTGCAGCCTATCATTTTGCGTACTAGACATATACTCATTGAAAATGATGGAGAGTTACATATTGGCAGTGAGATGTGCCCTTACCAAAGCAATGTGGTTATCATCTTATATGGGCGGTACGTATGCATGATAAAATACTATCTTAGAACTTTCTAGGATCTCTCTTCCACAACAGGGAACAAAACTCTTCCTTAAAATTACACTTTTTTTCAGATATACTTATCATCAATGCTCTGTGGAAAGTTCAGTGACGTAGTTTCAGTTCTGGTTTTCAGATCCTACTGGGAAATGAACAGTGTGGTATTCGGGCATGCCAGAAAATCAGCATGCACCTTGCCACCACTTAAGCTTTATTTTCCAGAATAGACTTAAAACCCAAGGAGCTCTTTTATTCTGATAATTCTGCTCCTTTCTGCATGAGAGCAGTGAGCCAAAGGGTAATACATTTATGTCTTGCAGATTGCTACAGGATCTCTTAGAATTTCAAGGATGCCAAACTTATATTTAACGACCACTAGACCTCCTAGCTCCTGGTTAGGGTCCTAATTTACTCCAGAATTCAAAAACACAAACGTGTCGTTCGGTCTGGGTTTCAGACCTCCTCTGTCCTGGATATAGTGAATATAACATATATAATCTGCATTCCAGATTGCTGCTGGTTTTCAGCAGTTGCTTCAGTAGTATTATTTCAAACAATTTATTTTCTGTACAATGTGGGCAGTTGATGATTGTTAGAGAAGTTGAAAGAAATGCATTGCAAATCATGATACTTCTTGCCTTGGGCCATAGCAGAACAAGAAGAGAGGCTCCTCTGATAGATACAAATTCAAAACTGGTTCCTTTCTGCCCTTCCTGCTGCAGAGCGGATGACAGCAGCCAGCCGAATCCCTACTTTGGGCAGAAGTATCTTGGAGTAAGTAAGGGTGGCACTCTTGAGATCCACGGAAAGAAAAAACTGTCCTGGGCTTTCTTAAACAAGACTCTTCATCCTGGTGGCATGGAGGAAGGTGGATATTACTTTGAAAGGAGCTGGGGCCATCGGGGTGTCATTGTCCATATTATTGACCCAAAGACGGGGGCAGTTGTCCATTCAGATCGGTGAGTCCCTTTTCAACTGTCTAGACGTAAGGGTCTTTGGGAACAGATTGGGGACAGCACCTCAGCAAGCTCAGAGACACGCATATTAGCATCTTGTTCAAATGGGTGTTATTGCATGTATATACAATTCTTTCTAGATCAGTAATCTCCAAAACTAAAGAGTGAGCAGTATTACTACCTTGCTATTCCATCAACCAGAGTTTAATCCATTCAGCTTAACAGAAACCCCTAATATACCCTGTTAGACAAGTGCTTTTGCAACTGGATAATATCATTACTGTAAACAACACAAAAGAGTTATTTCCTTACAGCACTTGCTTTTCAGTACATAAAGTTGTGATGCTCACTGAAGTAGATGTTTTTGGGTGTTTTTATCACTTTAGGTTTGATACCTACAGAGCAAAAGAGGAAAGCGTACGTCTTGCCCAGTATTTGGGCAGAGTTGCGAATGGCATGATCCTGTCAGTAGCAGTGAACGATGAAGGATCTAGAAACTTGGATGACTCGGCGAGGAAAGCAATGACCAAACTGGGCAGCAAGCATTTCCTCCACCTTGGGTTTAGGTATGTGCCAGTCCTGCCAGTTCTCCCAGCACAGAGGCTTTATTATGTTCCTGAGATGTCCAAATAACTCCACGCTCTCAAAGGCACAAAGTTCTTTCACATTAAAAAAAAAAAAAAAAAAAAAAAAAAGAGGGAAACTTCTCAATGTGAAGTTCTAGCAGTTAATTATATATTTTAAGATGCACTCAGTGTCTATATTGGGTATTTTTATTAGCAAACTGAGAAATAGCATATGATTCACATTAAAAAATGTTTTTCCAAGATATTGTTCCCACAAATTACTTGTTCTAATTTATTTTCAAGCCATCCCCCTAAGATTTAAGAAGCATATCTACAAACACACAGTGGATTTGATGGGCTTAACATTAAGGAGGGTAGAATAATAGCCATGTAGCGCTGGCTAAATACATATAGACATACCTACAGCATGTTCTTCAGCTTCTCCAATACATATTCAGGGACTTGTGCAGCACAGAAATTTAGCAAGCACGAATTTATGCTGTGGACTGTAAATACTTCTGTGGCCAATACAGTGTCTCTGTTGGCACACACACTGTTGAGAATATTTGCTATTTACCCAACTGTAGCCATTATATTTTTTGTGTTTATCTGAATTTATGTAGTATTTTTTTTGAGGAGGCACTAAGAGGGTCATTGCAGAACACACACACACACAAAAATCTGCCTTGTGGGGAAAAGTGATTCAATACAGCAGTTTGTGGGAACAGACAAGTGTCAGCTCGTCACTGGCAGATGGAGTAAGGTTTGGGGTGTTTGGTGAAGAGGTTGTGTCAAATATTACAGGGACTCCTGTGCATCACATAATGTCTTTCAAAGAATCAACCAAGGCTGCAGAAATAGTGTCCAAAACCAGGCTATCTCCATCAGTGCAATGCTTGTTCTCAAATACCCAGACCCCATATTAAAGCCCAGCAGCCTGCTGGGTTTCTTTTCAAAGGCTGAAATTAGGGAAACAGAAAAAGATTTTTGCACATTACACTTTTTTTTTTTTTTTTTCCAGTTGTGCAACAGGAAGAAACTGATGAGTTTTGCATATGTTTATAAAAGTAAATTGCACTTTATGTTTTTAGCCTGCTGTGGTGTTTTACTGTTCATTTCTCACTTTTTTGCCATATATGTCTATAATGGAAATACCATAGAAATTCATTCATGGAACTGTGACTTGCAACATTGCTATTTTTTGCAGTCAAAAAGCTAAACCTTATCATGCTGTTATCTGAAATACCACAATATTTCCTTATATAAATAATAGGAACATTGTGGGTACCATAATGTGGTTGTAGATGATAAATATTGTGTCCCATCAGCATGCTGGTATGTGGAAAAATGCATGCATATTGGTGCATTATTTAAAAGATTGTATTTTAGGAGTGTTCTCAGTGTTGACCAGCTTTAAAAAAAACCCATGTTGTCTGAGACCAGATTTACAAAGGCAGTTGGACAGCAGAGTGGACGACAGACAGCTTTGTCAGATGTATCCAAGCTTTTCTCCTAGTACAAATTGAACTTCCACTTCACTTTAACAAGATTTAGACATACTGGTTTATGTTTCAGACACAGCTATAACTATGAATAAAGATGTATATAGCTGACAGGTGCTTTTCAGAATTTTCTGGAAGATCTTAAAAAAAATGATGTTCAGGATGAGAAAAGTACATACACACATGCATACTTTATGGCAACGGGAGGCTCTGACAGAGGAGAGCGGACGGATTTTTCTTTTTAACGTGCCTGTGTACACACTCTCACCACTGACTCCCCAGCACCCCGGGTTTGCTGCTGCTGAATCTTGGTTGTCAGATCTTCTCAGCAACTTGACGATGTCTGGGACTGACTATGGGCATTACTGAGACAGTAACAGTGTAGGCCCCAGGCAGTAATTTGGCTTAGGAAATTTCTGTTTCACATTTTGTGAGGTGTCGCTTGAGTCAGGCTATTCAGCTGCAGAGTGGGTTGTTTTCTGACCGGGGTGGTGGCAGGGGTTATATGGACAAATTCCTGTCTATCTCCAGTTGCTCCCTACTCCACCAGATTGTAAGACTGTGCAACTCCCCCTTGCTGTAGCAGGGCTGATTAGCAATGCTGATTTATCCAAATATGTTTCTGTGCTCCTGGCATCTCTTTCAGTTGCCTATTTGTTGAGTCCAGAATATTAGGAATGAAAGGGAAATCTTGCATTCCTCCTCTATTGTTTTCCTTTTGAAAAGTGAGTTTAATCTTTAAGCGTGAGAGGATTTTTTTTCTCCTTCTAATAAATTAAAAGAAAGACTTTTTGCACTTGATGACATAGTTGTTCTCTTTGGAACCCCACCCAAATATTACTGGTTTGGCTCTGGACTTACTGGTCCCTTCATTTCATATAGCCCAAACAGATTGCATGTGTCCTTATATGTCAGGGTTGGATGACTTTAAAACTATTTTTACTGATAAAATAACTGAGAGAAACAAGTATTTTAACATATGAAATGGGGCCAAACCTTGAGTTGCAAAGATTATTTTTGAGCCATCATCGTTTCTGTCATTTGTTTCAAATTTTGTGACCAACAAAAAAAAAAAATCTGTCTTGCCTGCTGAGTGATAAAGTGTCCTTCCTGCCCTCATCCCCCTTCTCTTCCTGGACAGAGATCACAGCACGGCAGTGCCTTCGGCAGTTGGCGCACAGGCAAGTTTTCCAGCAGGAGCATCTGGCTCGCTGGCAGGCTCCCGAGGCAGTTGTGCTGGCAGCTTCTGCCGAGCCTGCCCTATGCTCGGGCTGAGGACACGCTGCTGGGACTGCCTCCCCTTGAGGAGCCATGTTCAGTGCATGCGCGGGGCCTCGGCATGGCATGGGGTGCACCAGTGCTCACCCAGAACCTGCTCCTGCCACCCCAAAGCCCGGGGCTGCAAACCCCGGCAAAGCCTAGCTCACGCCAGTGGTAATTTGTGCGTGTTTTAGTGGCTATCTGTCAATGTCCGTGTATGTTTTCTTCTGAAGTCCCAGAGTGGTTTATAACTTCATTTATACCAGCAGATGGTAAATGTAAGGTGACCTGCAAGACTCAAGGGTGAATCTTGATGCACTTGAAATCACTGGGTATTCATACCTATGGAGACATGATTTAATCTACAGGACTGTCTGCTAAATTCATGGTAGGGGTGACAGTCTCCCTACCACCCTAAAGGCGTATTTTTTACTCTGTTAGCCATTAAGAGCAGATATGCCTGAACTTCTATTTCCAAGATAAAACTCCCTCCTGACCCCTCCTAATTGGGTTCACCTCCAAGGTTGGGAGGCACTTTAGTCTCTGTCTCTGTTGCTTACTCATCCATGTGGTCATTCTCCAGTGTTGCTGATAGCTATTGAACCCACCCGACCAATAACCATCAGGCAGTAATGAACTTGCTTCTGACATGGGATCAGATTCGAACAGACAATTGAGACTCATGAACCTTTATCCCTGTTCAATGTTCAAAATAAGGAAATTAGATATGCAGAGACTATCTAGGTATTTTTTTATTGACCTTTGCCAGCCAGTCTGTCTATTATGAATTCTCATGGGTGATTCCAAAGACAATTGGGATATACAAGGTTTCAGCATGTGCTAAATATATTTAAGCAGAAGTGGTTTCTTTTCATATTCTTTCGAGTACGCACACACACAAAAGAAAATTTTCATGCTCCCCATGGAGTTGCAGTGTCCCTATCACACACAAGCCTCTTTAAACACCCATTTAAAAGAGAAACACACTTGTTATAGGAGTGTATTAAGCAGGGATTTGTCTTCAAATTTCCTTCTCTTTTGATATATTTACTGAAGAAATATAGAGTGTTAAGATATTTTTAATTTTAACTGTCACACTAATCAGACTGTTTTGAATGTGTTGCCCCTGCAAAATGCAAGAACATTGGGCTATAAAAATTATGCATCTTATACATGACATAACTTGATCATTTCTCATTTTCATTTTCCAGGCACCCATGGAGTTTTATTACTGTTAAGGGAAATCCCTCCTCTTCTGTTGAAGACCACATTGAATATCAAGGTAATTTATGCACAAATGCTGGCTTGACGTTATCGCTGGAAGTTATTGAAGTTTTGGCTGAGATTAATTTGGTCAATGGTGTTTTCACTTGACACTGCATTACCTCGAAGCTGTGAGCAATTGATGGTTAGACATATTTAACTGGACACTCTCTGTATATATTTCTTCTTCCCACTAATGCAGCTGAAGCAGCTGAGTGGGGTATAACCTAGGTTACCCAAACCCTGAGATAAAAGGTGAGATCCCGTACCGGTGTAAACCCATATAACTCCATGGAACTCAATGTAACTCCGTTGAGCTCAGACTCCGCTTCTCTTAGACACAAAGCTATGGAATAAACTCAGCTCACACCAGCTGAAAATTTAATCAGTGTATCCTGTATTGGTAGCCTCAAATACTCCTGCGAAACCATTTTCTTGCAAGCTGAAGACTTTTGAGTCTGTCATTTCCATGACATTTTCAGGAGCAGCTAACAACATGGCTTGCTACAACATCAAATAAAAATAGCAATATATTACAGATCATTGGGGTTTTTTATCCTCTCATGATTTTTGAAGATTTTTCCTCCTGATTCTCCAAGCAGTTATAAAAGTGTCTGAAGCCTTATTCCAAGATCAGTAAATTTTTCTGAAAGCTGTGCAGGGCTACTCCTGGATAATGTAGCCAAAATATGCAAACACACACGTGGGCCATTACCTTTTCAGTTCTTTTATTGATTGCATTCAGTGATTTTACCAATGTTTGGGTTTTTACAGGTCACAAAGGGTCAGCTGTGGCCAAAGTATTCAAACTATTCAAAGCCGAGAATGGAGAACATTTTAACGTCTCTTCGACTAGTGAGTGGGTTCAAGGTAAGAGGTCTGTGTGCCATTTAACTCGGTGGTAGACAGTTAACAAATAGGATGAATCATCCTTTTTATTGCAATACTTTTCCATTTGGGAAGACTAGACTTTCTAGATGCTATTTACGTCGCTGCTAACCCAAGTAGAGAACACGCACAGATTCTTTCCCCAATTGTCTCCAGGACTCTCTGAATAACTGGGATCCCTTTTCCTTTACTGAACTGGGTATGAAATTCCATCTCTTATGATCTAAGAGATCACATACAACCTCTTACTTCTTTTGACTGCACAGTCATCATGTCCGTGTTTCTGACAACATACAGTAACTGGTCGTAACTTGATCTGAAGATCAGAAACGGCAGCTAAGGAGGACACAGATCCAAAATCCATACCTATTAATAATGCTCATACTGCATGCTCCAATTATGTAGCTTTTAATAACTCCGCTCTCTCTTGGCTGGTTACACTTCACAGCATCATTAAAAGTGGCTGACAGACTAGCAGGAAGAGGCAGGAGTCAGATCATCAGTGAAGAAACTTGTGAATGATATCTGAGATCATATTATGCTTCATGCATTTTTGCTGCATTCATTAAGCTTGACTTTCAAATGACTTTTCTTGTTTGCACTTGTCTCCAGATGTAGACTGGACAGAGTGGTTTGAGAAGCCTGATAAAGCGAGATCTAAGGACATGGAGAAGCTTTCTGACTTCAAAGCTGCGCATCCTGATAAAATCTGTAGGCAACCCATTGACATCCAGGTAGGCTAGCTTACCGCTTGCTTTAGAGGGGCAAGTCCTCTTTGGACTGTCACTGAACCCCAAAATAATTGTGCTTGTCAGTATTTTTTTTCTAAATCAAAGACTCCAATTATTTTACTGCTCTAATACATAACCAACAAGATCTGGTATGCAGTTTTGTATCATTCTGAGACAAAAGTTCATAGAATTGTGCTCATTTCAGTAAATTCTGGCTTCTGGCATGAAAAGGAGTACAGATGGGGTCATGGGCAGCACAGATGCTATCATGAAATATGTCGTTCCCTGCAGGGAGATTAAAAGGAAAAACACATCAAAATTTCAAAGTTTTTAAACGGTCCTGGAATGGACCGTACCTAAAAAATTAATCACAAAACGTAATGAGATGGTAAAGCTACCAGGTGTAGTAGGTCGTCAAAAATATCAGTGAGCTTGCAGCCATTTTTGAGAGTCAACTGTTTTTTCTCTGTGAAAAGAAATTTGAATTCTGTTTGGGGCTAAACATTATAATTATGCCATCAGGCCAGCATGCTGAGGAGAAACAATATACCTTTTCTGAGACTTCAAAAGCCTCTGTAAGGACAGAAAAAAAAGGCAAAACCCAAGCTTTTTTTTGCATATGTTCACCATATACTTTGTATGTCTACCTGGTAAGACAACTACAGCAGAAGCATTGCTTAGCAAAAGACAATAAAATACTTTATATCTGTGGGAGGCTGAACTTAAGGCTCCTGCATACTCAGAACGAGTGGAGTTGTTCTTATTCACAAGAATGCAGCTATTGAAGTAAACGGGAATGCTGACAGTATGAGTGAAAGTTTCCAGGGCTAGATGTTACAAAGAATCTCGTCTTGAACAGCAAGGAAAAAACTGCCCTATAATTTTCTGCCAGGTCTTAGCAAATCCACATTCATTTCTGCTTCCATATACATATATTAGAAGTGACAACTTAGTTCAAAACAGGGGTCAGATTTTTGTTATGTTATGATACAGCTCCTTCTAGCATGTGTATTAAAAGAGAAACAAGAAAGATATTCTTCTGTTCAAGAAACAAACCTCTTTTTCTCTTCTGTTAAATGACAGTTACTTTTTTTTCCCTATGTATATTAAAAGTGAGACATTTTTCAGTTTATCCTGCAGATCTTTGGGCAAATCCTCAGGTAGTGTAATCTGGTGGTGTTCATGGCTTTCATAAATTTACGCTGATTTATAGCAGCTGGCCTGCTCCAGCTCTGCTACATACAAGAAAATTGAAGATATGATGATAATAACAGAAGCGCGGCACAGCCGGAGGCACATTCCTTCAGCTGTCGGTGCTAATCCTGTACATGGCAGCGGGGTGCATGCATTAATAAAGAAGATCTGAATGAGTGAGAGAATCGGGATCAGACCCTTCATTGAAAGATGGCTTATCTCCTGGTGCCTTGTTAAAATGCATGTGATATTTGGATTGCCCAATGCAATGCATCACATTTTTGTGAAAGGGTCAAGAGAATTGCAAGCTATAGAGCCGGCCTGTGACATTTAACATGACCCTGAGGGGTGACATTGCCCCAGCAGGAACACAGGAGAGGCTAATATCTGTTTCTTGGCACGATACACCCTTTTTTCTCAAGTTTACTTGGATCTGAGAAAAGGCCACCTCTCCTTCTTCCTTTTGGAGCAACGGATATTGCAGCAGTTTTTTGGTTTTTTTCTTAAAGAGATTGATCCATGTAAAGAAGAAGTAAGACTCGTACCTCTTTCTTCTGCAAGGTTCAGACATAGTCTAGCCACAAGGAATGAAATTAATGCAGTGAAGAGGCTTGAAACCATGAGTTCATTTGGGTGCATGCATCCGTATTCAGTGTTTTTATCTGCCTTCAAACCAATGGCAAGAGAAAATCTAGGGCACCAAGGCAGATGTTAGTGAAGCTCAGAATACTCCTCCCAAAAAAGCACATGGTCTTAATATAGATACAGGAGAAAGGCATGCAACTAGCAATAATCTATGCAGCTTGTGGATAAAATAGCTGTGTTTGAGCACCAGCTGGAGTGCCGGCTGGATAGCACACGTAACAGTCAGAATGTTTTGTTATACAACTGTTGTATGTCACCCAAAACAAAGCAAAAGCTGCTTCTGATGGCACTGATGTTTTGGTGAAATCCCTTCACCTCAAAGTATCACCTGTTTTATATATCTGTTCTCATTTCAGGCAATGACACTTGATGGAGTTAATTTAACAACTGAGGTTTTCTACAAGAGTGGCCAAGATTACAGGTTTCTGTGCCACGGCAAGGACCAGACGGGCGAGGGCTGTCAGAACTACAGAGTACGGTTCCTGTGTGGCAGATCTGGTATGTGCCCCGTGTTTGAAAGCCAGACCATGGAACAGCAGAAATACTGTCTTCCGATGACTGGCTCTTATTTGGTGTAAGAACAACTTAAGTAATTTCCCAAGATAAAACTTTGGCTAGGCAGTTGACTTGAACACAGACAAAATGGCTGAAGATTTATCTCAGGAAAAATTCCTGAGCACTAACAGAGGCAACAGGGTGGTGTCTCAAAAACCCAGCAAGGCTATGGCAAATACTTGGCAAGTCTCTTCCTGTAAATATCTTGTCTTTTACTAAAGCATTTTGGGATGAGGTAGGATTAGTCAATCAGAGTGTGCAAAGAGAACAGGTTTTGAAAGTAATAATTTATTTTGTAGTTATCAGTTCCAACACTGCTGTCCCTAACCTGGTCATTAGACAGGTCATTAGGAATCTTTGGCTCTCAGCTGGCAGGGGGGAAAAACAGGGTGGAAGACTCTTGTTTTGCTGGAAAAACTGTCATTACATTAAAGACCACTTGGCTGCTGTAAATAACAGTGCCCAGCACCCACAACTGCTGCTGTTAAGTGGGTGTGGTGAAAATGAGCCACTAAGAGCTACATTTAAATTTAGTCCTGGGGTTAGTGGAAAATCCACCTGCCTGCAACTGAAGGAAAACACTTTCTTGTTTACTCGCTTTCCAAGCCAAAGCCAGTAAAAAGCAGGTTTGGAAGAGTTAACTATTTTTTGCTGCGTGAAGATATCATCATTTCTGGTGGTGTTCCAGGCAAAAAAAAAAAAAGAAAAAAAAAAAAAGAGCAAGCCTTTTCTGATAAGATTAACTGAATTCTCCACCCTTCCATTTTGGCTTTTCAGTTAAACCGAAGCTTACGGTAACCATTGACACTAATGTGAACACTACAGTCCTGAATCTGGAGGATGACGTGAGCTCATGGAAACCCGGAGACAGACTGGTGGTTGCAAGCACTGACTACTCCATGTACCAGGCGGAGGAGTTCCAAGTACTGCCATGCAGAGCCTGCAAACCCACCCAGGTCAAGGTAGCAGGTAAGGTGCTTCATCTTATCGTGCTGGTGTGGCAGTTCACAGATTCTGTCATTTGCACCGAGGTGACTCCATTAAGAATGGCGAAGAGTTGAAAGACACCTGAATTTGACTGCTAGTTTTAAGATGCTTTGGGGAAACATATGCCTTTCATGCTTGAAGCCACCTGATTCTAGCTCCTTTCTGCCTTCCCTTTTCATAGGTGACTCCATTTTTTGTCCCCAAGCACACTATTGAATGTATATGTTTATTTAAGAGAGACAAATGCAGGTCATGTATTTGAAATGTTCAGGTTTCCCTAACTGCATCTGAAAATGTATGGCTTCCTAGAAAGCAGGAGATGAGCGCAGCTGATCTGATGAGTGAGCTAGGGCAGGAGCAGACCATGAGAGACTGTAAGTCTATGAAGTAATGTGCAGCTGGCTATTTTCCTAAGAAAGTTATATTTAACGAGAACTGTGATCTTACATTTTGAAAATACTGTTTTGCACTACTGAAGCTACTGTTTCTCATTTACTGTCTCTAGACAGCATTGCTTGGAGGTGATGCATTAACCAAACATTTCTGAGTCACGTGGCCAGCGAGTTGTCCTGAGCCACAGCACTGGGGGAGATGGAGTCAGTAGGGTGCTGCCTGAGCTAGTCTGATCAGGAGGAGCAGGAACCTTTGCAGAGCCACAGCATTTTTCTCTTGAAGGTGACTAGCTCAAATCCAGAACCAGTTGCTTTTAATGAAAAGACACTATAGTCCAGTGATTGTAAAGTGGCCTTCAGATACTGAGTCCAATTAAGTAGCATAACCGTGATGAAGCACAGACTATTACCGATATGAGCATAACAGTGAAATCCAGAGTGGGGGATCTGCATCTCCACTTGAGTCTGTGAAGAGGTCTTTCCCTTCTAGAACTATATTTTGGCACACTGATAGGCAGAGCATGAAAATACCACATGAACTGCCTCTTCTGTGGATAGATGAGCAATTTTTAACTTCTATAGTTTACAAAAGCAAAAGTTATTTTACAATATAAAAGTATGTAATAGCTGAGGCTGTATTTCAAAGGCAGCATCTTCCTGGTGGTAAATCATGCATGTTACATTATCTTTTCCTTACACATTGGCAATTGCTCTAGGCAGAGGGTTTGTCTACATTTACAGTAAGATCTTTCTGAGAAACCACGAGGGCACTTGGATCATCCAATGCACTAGGGAGTTTGCTCAGTTCTGTGAAATTTAACTACTTTACCATTATCTCTGATGCAACAGCTTCCAGAAGGTACAAATATACTTCCTTTGGCACATGCCTCCCCACAGAGCTCTAGCCATTCATTGTTGGGTGGCGCAAAAGAGAGGTGTTCATCAAGCCAAGAAAAATGTTATTCACAGTTTGAATGTATCATAGTCTTATGACTTAAAATGACTGGTACTTTCAAAGATGATGTTTCCAAGTTGAATATTTTTCTTGAGAAACTTTTGAGCTATTGGAAAAACTGTACCAGACTAGTATGATACAAGTCACATCATGAAGATGATCTTGGAAGATCGTCAGTAAAAATAAAGATGTCATAGGAATATTTCTCTTAGGTTTCCCATAATCTAATGGATCTGTGAAATTAATCTGTGAACATTCATTGTCTGCAACAATGGCAACTAAGTTAGTTTAAGGAAATTAATAAAGGGTTAAAAACAACAGAAAATTTCATGTGAATTTCAAGTAAAGAAGCAGTGGAAACACTTGTTAAAGTAATTGTGCTCTTGGTCTCCAATTACTCTTTAGGAGAATTAGGACATTCCTTTTATTACCACAAATGACATGAACACCAGGGCCAAAGTCTGCCCTTACTTATATCCAGGCAACACCATTGACGTCAATGGGATTTCACTGATTATATAAATCAAGGCAAAATCTAGTCCAGTAATAAAAATCACATCCAACTTTCTTGTAACAAAAGTACGTTCACACTAGAAAATATAATAATCTGCCTGATTCTAAGTTCAGTCTAGATGAAGTAAAGCCTGGGCAAGGCTGAGCTGTCCCCTGTCTTTAGGAGCCAGGAGGTCACTGAGCTGCTCTATGCCCAACCACGGTGCAACTTCATCCATTGGCCTGTGCCACGACATGCAATTAGCCAGAATAAGGACCAGTAATGAGCCAGGGGGTGGGTGCTCTCCACGCCTCCTCCCCTCCGCGATGCCTGCAGCTGCCCGCAGCCTGCCTAGCTCTGCCTGTGCTGTCCCTGCCCTGCCAGGCGGGCAGCAGCACCGCAGTGGTGGGTTTTGAGGTGTGCTTATCGCTGGAGGAGGGAAACACCACTGTGCTGGGTGCTTGGCTTGCACTGAAACCCGTGTGTGCACAGGTGTGCACATACGAATCCACTATCCCATGATCAGGTGCTGACTTTGATGAAACTTATTTGGATTCAATTAATTACCTGTAAGACTTCTGTTAAATAGGGCTTTATTCGTCCCAGTGGCTCAAACATTGTGTGAAGGGAGAATGGCTGACAGAGAGCAAGCACTTAAAAATAGCTGGCAAGCAGAGGTCTGGCCTCTAGCCTTAGCACAGGTGAGCAGCCCCTGCACAGCCTGTGCCTGCATGGCTGCGTTCGGATCTCAACGCTGTGCAGAAGACGTTCATCATCAACGTCTGCCTTCTTTTTGCTATGTGAGACATGCAAGACTGCTTTGCTCCTTCCAAGAAAAGACTTCCACACAGATACATTTATATATGGGGTCTCAGAGGGATGTAATTTGTAATAAGAGTGAATGGCTTAATTTTCCTAAGAGGTTTAATTTAGCAGCTGAGAAGTCCAAAAGTCTGCCCTTTGAAAGACAAATGATAAAGCCATTCCTACCGGTCATGTTTTATTTCCCTTTTAATCTTTTTTTTTTTCCTTTCAATTTTTTTTAAAACAAAACCTAAATGTCAGGTCTGAACTACTTAAGAGCCTCTTTGTTTAAAAAAAGGCAGAAAACCTCTGCTTTGTGGACAGACAATTTAGCGTGGCAGCCACTTGGCATAACAAGGTTTAATTATAATTGATGCTCTCATCGTTTAATAATATTTTAATAGACATGGTTCAGCATATTGTGCCAAATAAGTCAAACTCATTAGTTAGCTCATGTCCTATTTATATTTGATACTTTGCTGAAATCTCATACTTTCTTTACTTGCTAGAAATGGATTGATTAAAGGCTGATCTTTTCAAAACAGCTTAAGAGTATCAACACTCAATTGCCATCAGGTTTTAGTAGGATTTAGTTGTCTAACTGTGGACTTCTGCAAATCTCAGTGTAGAAAGTGAGGGAGGGCACCCAGGTACTGATCTTGTGCAGTCCTTTATTGGAGTAATTACACTAATGTCAAAACTGTGGCTCCCATGGGTAACTGTGGTTTGCATGAGGTCTCAGCTCTGCAGGTCCTGCTCCCGGTCAAATGGTCGCTCACTTAAATGGAACTTCTTTCTCCACTTGCCTCCTTTGTTTAACTTTTTTTTTGCTTGTCATTTTTGTGCCTAGATTATTTTCTCTGTGGGAACAGATTAAAACTGTTTGATCTTCCAACTTCACAAGGTTTGGGGAGGGACGGCAGTACAGGGCCGAGGGAGGGAGGAGGAAGGAAGGAAGGAAGGAAGGGTTGTGTTGTTATGATAGAACTGGATAGTAGGAAAGATCAAGTATTTTGTCTAGTTTCCCTGGGAAACAAGTCTTATCTGCATCTTGGTTGCTCTGTGTGAAATTACTACTAGTGCTGATAAGTTTCACCATGGAACAAAAACGATGAAATGCTCTTTTGTGGTTCTATATGCTCTTGATAAAGCATGAAAATACTATTTGTGCCTGGCACAATTACTTCAATTATCCCACATACTGGTGAATCTATGATTACAAGCACACGTATCTTAAACCCTGCTTATTGGGTTGCAAATACTAGAGAGATATGGAGTTTACTATGATGTTGTTCATGCAGAGAACTTCAAATTAAAAATGTAAATACATAGTTGTTGAACAACTTCACAGCCTGTGTCAGCATTCATCTTGTACTGTAAGGATGGGAGAAGTTACTCCGCTATCAAAATTCAGACACTTTTAGAGGTTTAGGGGGTTCTGTTTAGAAGTTGGCATAATTTTAGCTGGAACTTGCCAGAAATTCTTTTTTTAAGGCAATTCTGGTGCTTGAGGGCTGGGCAGGAAATGTCATGAAATGGCCCTTTCTAACACTCTTTCAGAGCTCTTTCTTCTACCTCTGGGCATTGCATAGAAGCAGAGTTCACAGAAACATACTCAAGTTTACGTAGCAGTTCAGAAGGGTTGAGTTTGGGCCTGATTTAAGTAAGGGTTTGATCTGTTTGTCCACCAGACCTGCCTAATCTTCCCATCCCAGCTGCAAGAACTTACATGTCAGGATAAGGAGAGGAAAAACGTGGAAGGCCAGAGAGGGAAAACCTGGCATTTACAGAAGCATGTCAGTAGATTGCCAACTAGCTGCTGCAGAGAGCGGGCATGAGGTGGGACAAGAGTGGGCTTTGGAAAGATTGTGACCCTACCCTTGGGATAAGACACTAGCAGACCTTGCAGAGACCTTGCAGTGCTCAGTTAAAGCCAACATGAGCAAATGCACTGCCCTCAGTCCACGTCAATCCTGCTGTCGCACCTATCTGCAACAGTGAGATCCACTTCTTTCAACCTTGACACCAAACAGCTACAGAATCTTTGATCCAACATGGAATTTAAGCGTACACTTAATAATATCCATGTGAGCTCGAGGCTCTCCACATGCCTACAATGGAGGATATATTTCCAACCTATGCAGGATCTGGGTGGAGAAAAGGGGTGAAGGGCTATAATAGGATGAGTTACCCAGCAGGAAACTGTCCCAAGAAGGCTTAGTTAGCTCTGAACTCCTTATAGAGTTCTGTGCTTTCTTCTGTATGTCTTTTTACTGGAAACTTAATTTTCTGTGTAAAAGTTATGAGTTCAAGGAATATTTATTCTTTAAGACATCAGGTTGTACTGCATGACTCAGGACGCTGGTCAGCTCACCCAAACCATGCTGCATTGCTTACAGGCTTGCGGCTTAGGGACGAAATAGCAAACCTCGTCAAGAAAATTCAGGATAATGAGGATTTGACAGGATGCCTGTGTGAACATTTGTTGGTTATTAAATATAAGCAATAGGGGCGTTTCCACCAGTGATGACAAATGCTTGGCAAAAATGCTAAATCTGACAGAGGTCTGGGCTGCCATCTACAATGAGTCGCACTGATTTTAAAGACGCCCCGAAGGATTCACTGTCACTGGTTTACATGGGTTGAACGCACAAGTTTGTGTTTAGCATTTCCTTTAAAAACTCTTGTTTAGGAAACATTAAGAGACCATCAGAGAGAAGGTCTCAGCCTTAGAGAGCCCAAAGGAGAACAAAAGACTCTCTAGAGGGAAAAAATAATCCAGGAGCATCACTTCTGGATTGATAAATCTTCACTTTATCTTCACCAAACCCAGACCTTCAAGTGCCTGTTTCACTTCTGAAAGGGAGATTTAACAGTTTGTGTCATTTAGAGCCAAGGCACTTTGGAATGCATGAGTGTACCTGGGAGGGTTTTCAGAGACATCTGTGTAACTCGCCAGAGCTGAACAGTCTTCCACATCTGTAGCGGCTGAAATAGTTTTAAAATTCTGCCCTTCCCAGGTTTGATAAGGCTTGAGACCCGGGTTTTATGGCTAGGTTCAAGTATGGCAGGTTTTCCTGGAGCTTTGTACAGTTTGGAGAGACTCTGCTTTGAATTGCTTTGTTGACATAAGTATGCCCTTGATCAGTGGATCATCTATGTTTATTTTAATGCATACTTTCTTTTAATAATTACCTTGTCTTTACCAACAACTGGTGACTTTAATAGTCACTGTCTTGAGTAATAAGCATGGAAAAGTGCTCATATTCTGCTGAATCAAGACTTCTATCAGGCAAGCCCACACATTAAAGAAGTTGTTGCCTGTGAATCTACATTTTGCTAACTGGAGGCACTGGTATGACAAATACAGCAGCAAACCCAGGGCATTTTTCCTAGTCCATCACACAGGCCAGTTGTGGGGAGATGTAATCTGGGTCACTGCAAGGCTTTGTTTTAGATTATAACATGGCATAAGCCTGACTTGCTGGCTGGGCAACATCTGCCCATGAGGGATACAGCAAGAGTGAGCCCAAAGGAGGAGATGGTGAATCAGTGACCCCCGGGTTTGTTAGCGGTTGGGCAATCACAGGCATTGGCTTTGATGCTGCAGCAGCAGACACTTTCCTCCCACGCTCAATACACACTGTTGCCTTTTTAGTATCAAACCACTTCAGTGCTGGTTTGCAAACCCCTGGCTTGGGTTTGCCCATGGTCAGTGTTCAGGGTCTCAGATATCATGGGTGCTCTCTGGGAAGGCTCCGTAGTGCTGGCTGTGAGCAGCAGCCTGTCTTCAAATTGGCAGCTGTGCAGAGTGAGATGCTCCCGACCCCATGTGTGAGCTCCTTGAACTCACCACAGAGCAGCCTCTTTTGTTGTTTTTCTTTTCATGCCCTTCACTAAATATGCTCTAGCAGCTCCCTGAAAGTGTCACATGTCTGTAAGTGCACATTGTGGTTCTCCCAGCCCCATGGGAAGTGCCCGGTGCTGGAGCGCTGATTACCAGTGGGCATTTACAGAACTTGAGGGCTCCTATGGCAAGGTCTGTCTCCCACAAGCTGTTTCAGGAGCATGGCCCCACTGCTGGGAGAGCTTGAATTTCTGGCTGCCTTGAGGAGAGGTTTGTTTTTCAAAACTCTGTTAAAGGAGCTATTATTCAAAATCCAGTTTTACGTTGGAAGGGAATTACTTTCCATCTCTCCTTTTATCTCCAAACAAGTCAAGTCAGCAAAAGCATAAAGTGAAAAACATGCACCCAAGAAGTTATATTTAGAAACTGGTTAGTCCGTATTTAACATTCCTGTCAGTGCTTACACTATTTTGCATGTCTGGACTGGTGTTAAATTAAATTAAATACATGCAAGCATGACATTTATTATTCTAGAGCTCAGCACATGAATAACAAAACCGCCTATCTAATTTCACTGCCACAAATCCTGGAGATGTGGCTTCAAATAGGATGTTCTTATGACTATCTGAACTTCTTCCTGCATTTCAGTAAATCAAGGAAAGGTCAGCTCTGGGGGAACCTGAAAAATAACAGCTTAAAAATGGTTTCATAACAAGAGGCTGTGCTCCTTAACAGACTCGCTCAAGGATCCAGCACAGAGTATCCGCATGCGGAGGACTCTCACTGGCTTTTTTAACGTATGTGAATATTGGAAGCAAAGCTGCTTTTTGGACGGGCTGGGTTTGGTTTTGGCAATACACCTGATGAGGCTCACTGGCTTCAGGGCAACAACACAGGGAAGCCCAGGGCTTTCTAGGGAGGCAGTTGCAAAATTGGGCAAGATGCAAACCTGCAGCCCCTCGTTTCTGGGGCTGAGTGTGGGGCTCATCTTCCCACCACAGCCCTGGGTAAAAACATCCACCTGTTCTGCCATCACCACTCTTCTAGTTAACGGAGTGTTTTTTCACATGATGACATTATTTTGAAGGCGGAGGTGCCCAGGCAGAGGGCACATGTAGTGCTGTGAACCCTGTCCCGCAACACAGCAGTCTCAGAGCCAGGCGGAGCACTCACCCTTCCCAAATCCCAGTATTACCATCAGACTACACTGATCCCAGCTGCAGAAGAAGAGGAAGTGAATGGTGTTTGCTTATCTTTGTTACAAAGTCAAAGCATCATGTTTTGGTAAAGCCAAGACTCTTTCAATGTTCAAAATCCTCCCCTCGACTTGGCACCTCTGCTTAAGCATAAAGTGCTTCGCAGCAATGGCCAGGCTTCAGGCTTGCCATTTGTTTCTAATTACAGATTTGAATGATTCCACTGAAATTAAATACATGCAAGTGTAGCATTCCTTAAAGTTCAGTGTTTACTTAAAGAGTTTATTACTTATTTTTACTGGAATAATACAGAATGTAGTCAGTAAGATGAACCTTTTCCTAACTGCATTCTCTGCAGAAAGCCGCGGAAGGAAGGAGGGGGTATGAATATGTTTGAATGAAATTACAGCAAAGATATGATTTTGCTTTCTAGACATTTGCACTTCACCCCTTTCTGGTCAGGCCAGGGAAAGCTTTTTGTGCTTTTAACCCCATTGTGGAGCCAGGTGTGTGTGCGGAGGATGTTGTGAGTAACTTGGCCTGGCAATGAGAGACGGTAGATGGAAGATCCCATCGATTCTGATTATACCAGGGCAGAGTGAAGCATTGAGAGCAAGTTGGAGACATGCAGGCAGATCTAAAATTGGGAGGTTTGGGAGGGTAGGTGGCAGGGAATTTTGCAGCTACAATTTCCCCAAGGGTTTCTGCCCAGTCCTCTCCTTGCTTAGATCAACAGCCGTGGTGTTAGCAGGATCAGACTGATGCTCGCCCGTGTGTAGTGCTGCGGGATCTGAGCAGCTCCCAGTGTCTCACTATGGGAAGTGCTGTGCTAACCTTGGGGATTTAGACTTTTCAGTGTCTACATCATCAGTTTTCTTTGCGTCAGATGTTCATACACAGCTGATTGTAATCCAAAGTAAAAAGATCTCAAATGATCACAGTCCATTTTCAAGGTAGAAATTGTGTTTTGTCTAACAGACTGTTGGTTTAACTCCCTGGCTAAATGAAGCAACTTAAGACCAAAAATCCCACTTCCCCTGTTGCAAATATCTCAGCAAGACCTTGGGTGACACCTGTGCTCCAGCCTTCCTTCCTTTGAGGAGTTGGCCAATAGTCTTTGCTGACTCAGTTAATCCTTTCATTATCACGCCAACCCCACCACAGGAAGCACAAGGGGAAACCAACAGCATTGGCAGAGTAACCCTGAAACTGGATCTTGTTCCTTTAGGGAAAGCAACATACCTCCACGTTGGCGAAGTCATTGATGGTGTTGACATGCGGGCAGAAGTGGGACTGCTGAGCCGCAACGTCGTGGTGATGGGCGAGATGGAGGGGCGGTGCTATGAGTACAGCAGCAAGTTATGCTCCTTCTTTGATTTTGACACCTTTGGGGGACACATCAAGGTAGGGCTGGAGCCCTCTCCTTGCACATTCCTCCACCCAGCCACACCTTCACATACCAAGGAAGCCAGGAGGCAGGAAGGGAAAAATCCCTCATGTCAGCCACTGAGCAAACAGCCTCTCCCCACAATACAGTAGATCCACCCCACTGCTGTTGCCTGTCCTTTGACTTTGAAATGCACCTCATGCCCCTGCAGATGTTGCTCAGCCAGCCAGACTGGTGCCTAACCCACCTCCACATTCTGATCCCAGTATCCTCCAGATTCTGGTGGTTCTCAGCCCAGGGAGTTCGATTTGAGCCCAGCTGACTGAAACTCACAGAAAGCATTAAATACAAATTGCTTTCCTTCTAAAATTAGGTTAAATGTAGCCATGGCAGCACTGATGGGATCAAAGAGCAGCTACGGTCCCCTTAGGCACCATGACCCTTTTTCCCTCACCCTGCAGCTGTACACTCCCTTCTTTCTAGCAGATACAGTGCAATCCTTCCTATTCCTGTATTCCTCCTCTTAGCCTCAGCAGTCTTTTACATTTCTTGACTGATGTTCTGTTGTTCTCCAGATTGGCCTTGATTTTAAGGCTACCCATATTGAAGGTCTAGAACTGAAATATATGGGCCAGCAGACAATGGGTCATTACCCAATTCATTTCCATATGGCTGGAGATGTGGATGAGAAAGGAGGCTACAACCCCCCAACGTACGTGAAGGATGTCTCTATCCACCATACGTTCTCCCGCTGTGTCACCGTTCATGGATCCAATGGTTTACTGGTAAGAAGCCCCAATGTCTACCTTAGAGATCAAGGCACCAGTCAAAAAATTTCCTTATAATGTGAATACAGCTTAATTATTGCAGGATGATGTGTTTTATTGTTAGAGCTCATGTCTGACTCTTCCTGCCGTGGGTATATATTCCAGGCATATTTCAACCTGCATTAAAAATGAGGAGGCTGACGTGGCACTGTAGGCTGTGTGTGACTCAGAGTGGGCAGAGCTTTTGTCTTTGTGCAGCAATGTCTGCAGACCAGCCCATCTCTAACGAGTAGTTGGATCTATCTATAGACAGAAATCTTGCTGTTTAAAGAGGATAATCAGAAGGTTTAAGTGTGCTTTATCTTTCCTGTAATAAATGTTTGTGTTTGCCATTCACAACATCAAGCACTCACAGAGATCATTTGTCAGAGTTGCCCTCCAAAACAATAAATTCTTTAGGATAAATCTATAAAATAACCTATGCTTACCAGGCAAGTTACAACACACCAGAGATGGTAAGAACACATACAGATTCTTCCCAGATGCAAGGGTAACTTCTTTGGGGTAAGGATGCAGAGGGAAAACGGTGCTACCTTACTGAGCATCCTTGAGACTGGTACATAACCCCAAAAGGCTTTCCTCACTCTTATCCCACCTCTGATGGCTTCTTTTCCCCAAGTATCAGATCAAACATGAAGTCTTAAAATGACAAGATTTCTGTAGACAAAGGACTTTCACCCATTCAGTGAGATGGCAATGTATTCCAAAAGGAAGAAAGCCCTGAAGAGAAGCATTTGTAGAGACAAGAGCCCTGCTACCGTATATAACTGAGGTTTAAGAGAAGACCTATCACTGGCGGTTGTAACCTGGATGGTCACTGTGTGTTAGGAGTTCATATCCATATCACTGTTTTAAAGTTGCCATACCATCACATAGTAGGAGCCTGTAAGAACCTATTTTTCTGGAACTTATTTGAGGAATAGCATTTGCTTTCAACACCTAGCTAAGACATGATTTGTGCCCTTTACTTGCTGATGAATGCTTCCTCCTTTAGCACATGGAGGGCTTCATCTTACAAGTCTTCCTTTTGGCAAGGGCTGCAGGCCACAACCTCTAAAAGTGGCAACATTGGAAGGGAAAGTCACAGGCATAATTAAAATGCACAGAAGTTGAAGAGAGGGCATTGAAATTGCAGCTCCAGAAGCAGAGCAGCTTTTATCTGCTATTTATGAATCCGAGGTTTTGGTTTTGACCTCCAAGTTTCTAACATGATCCTAAAAACCCACCAAGTGAACACAGCTTCTGAAAAAAAAAAAAACAAAAAAAAAAAGAAAAAGACATTCTACTATATAAATTATATAAGGCATTCAGGGTCATATGGCACCTTCCCAATCTGAAGGCGCCAGTACAGGGGCTCAGTATATGATTAATGTGCAGAGTGGAAGGGCAGCGTTGCAGGATTCATTTGTCACACCATCATGAGCTGTACCAAAGGCACCCTAAATGCATTCTCTGGCTGCACAGAGGTTGCACAGCTGTTTTTGAGCTACAGACTTGCTAAAGCTCTGCTTCTGCATCTAGTGTAAGACCTTTATTCCCTATTGATTAATACTTGCCAAGGCAAATACCCAGAGCCTGGCATTTTTCTTATCAATCAGATGAATGGGTTCATATAGAGCATTTGGAAATAGTTCTGTCTCTTGTGCTTTCTCCAAGCGACAACTGTGCCATGGGGGATCCATGGTATAGGGATCCAAGCACACAGACTTTTCCAGCCACGATGGCATGATGAAATTTAGACAGGCTGATGTAGCTGACGAAAGCATCTTGATTCTCTTGCTGTTACCGAACAGCCACAATTCCCTGAATGACAGTGCTTTGCCTCTATGACAAGGCACCCGAAAGAAATCTTAGAATTTAGGACATATAATCAGAAATGTTAGTTAAGAAGTTATTCCCTGTTAATTATAGTTTATCAAAATGTGTGAATGCCAAACTCTACTCATAATACTTTACCTGTTTTTTTAAATTTTAACCATATAATTATTGCTGATGGCTGAAAAGAAAGCCCCAGTGAAATAAAGCAATCTGACCAAGTTTGTTCAGTTGCATCACAGAAAACATGCTCCAAAGGTTGCATCACTTAAATGTTGTTTCATTGTCTGTGATAGACATCTTCAGTCAGCAGCTCCATGCCTTGAATCACAAAGGTGGTACTCGATGATCTTGAAGGTCTCTTCCAACTGAAACTGTTCTATGATTCTATGAGGTGATCCCAAGACAATCTCCTCATCTGCTTTCCAACTCTATTTTCCTTCCTTTCCTCTTCCTTCTGCCCCAGATATATTCACAGACAGCCACATGGGTCTCTGATGACTACAACAGTTATTCTGTACATTTCCTAGTTGCCTGTTATCTTCTTACTTGGGCAACACTACCTGTTTCTACATGCATGAACACCATTATGTGCAGAGTGATGAGCTCCATCTTTCCCCAGGTAACAATTGTTGCCTCTGAGATCAGGTAGATTCAAAGCATACTTCACTGAGGGAAAATTTGCCTTGATGATGTGCACAAAGCACACCTTGGAAATAGCCACACAACAAAATCTAGCTGCGTTATTACACCTCCGCATAGCACAGCATTTAATGATGTCCTTAACATCAAGCCATTGATTTCAGAGGGGCTTCTTGCATGACTGTGGTTGAGTACCTGTGCAAATGCTTTAACAAATGGGAGAGGGGCATCAGTTATTTTTAACTGTCATTAAAGCAGGCTGGTAATTTATATACAGGCTTCCCTGCTTGCTTTGCTATCTCTTTTCTCGTGTCACTTCAGAGATACTTGTACTGAAAACATGAGGAGAAAAGAATGTCCAGTTATTCCTGATGACAGAAATGTTTTTCTGTGGATCTGTACAGTGTGCTAAAAGTCACTATCTCAATATTAGCTCACTTCCATTGGTGGGCTATTCTGCACTTGTCTGCAAAGTCATATTCACTGGAATGCACAGAGGGTCCTTCTGGAAAAAAATCTGTAGAAATTCCTTTCTCACCATCATTATTGTTTGAAAATGCAATAATTACCCAATGTTTTCTTTAATATATTGACCATAAAACCACCTAGTTACACCACTGCAATCTCAGGGATCAAACTTTGCTCTGTTTCCCACTCTCTCCACTGGATCCCAGTGTGCAAGCTAAAATAGAAACAGCCATTGGGGAGGGAAATTAAATGGAGGTCAATAAACAGTCTGGCAGAATCCAGGGCAGAGCTGTATTTCATGGAATAAGAGGTTGTGCTATCTAGCTGCTTCAGTGGTATCTGCTTTTACTAATCCAGCTATACTACACAGCAGTTGTTTTACCATGAAGGGAATTATCCGGCCATAAATTACTCATGGTTAAAGTAAGATTATGGACTATTAGGAAGGTCTGAATCAAATAAAAAAATAATCCATTGGAAAAGTAAATTTGGAACAAGCAACTTGTTTGCTATCCAAGCATTTCAATATTGGATTTGTGCATGAAAACACACAGAGGAAACTAAGTCAGAGCTGACTGGGAGATGAGATACAGGGAAAGAAATTAGTCAAACAGAGGATGACAAACACACTAGGGATCAGGTCCCTGGCTGGTAACTTTGGGTTTTTCTGTGGGCTTTCAAGGATGAGTTAGGAGACCGTCGGGCATTTGCTGGCTCTGAGCCCCTCTGCCAGTGCTCACCCCCCTCTCTGCTTCACTCCTCTCCCACCATACCGGGAAATGCGCTCCCCTGTGATGTTATTTCCCATGTACAGAGGTGGACTTTGCCCCAGCTAAAGCTGTTCACTGCAGTTTTCCATGTCCCAGTCCTGGTGCAGTGCTGTGCTGGCTGGAAAGATAAATGGCCATACAAAGTGGCTAACATTTCTCTAGGGAAACTGTTTCCATCAGCTAAATGTTGCAGCACCATTACTTACATGTCTTTCTAGTATTACTGTTGTGCGAGATAAAGCTGATGATAGGTTTCGGTGGCAGTTTCCGTGTAATCCTTGGAGGATAATAGTAAAAAGACTTCCTCTACATGTTGGAAAATTTCTTCTGAAGATAGCTTACTCTCCTAAAATGTTCTTCTATCCTGTAAACCTTTACCGTTACAAGACTGGAACAGCTCGTTCTTCCCAAGAGGGGACAGTTCAGTTTAGTACATACATTTTACACCTCAATAAAGAAGCCTAAACCTTGCAAAAGCTATTATCTAATTAGATCAGGAAAGTCAGCAGTAAATTTCAGTGAGATAGCTTAAAGGAATGCACCACTTTGCAGGTCATTTTAGCTGTGTTTAATTTACTGTGGTGGCTTGTGTTCAGAGATTTGAGTATTTACACTGGAGCATGGATGATACATAATAGATGTGTGTGCAGATGTAAGCTTGTAATAGATTTGGCAAGCAAAGTGTTCTTTCTTATGTGAAAACAAGTTTGTAATCATTTCAACACTAGTCCTGGGATTTTATTTGAAATTGGTGCTCCTTGCCTTGAGAATGAGGCACGAAGATGACAGAGGAGTCTCAGGCCTATTTACAGAAGTAATTCAGGCACTTGAGCACCCAGATCTCTCAATGACACCATAAAGAATAGGTCTTCTATCCTGTTTAATATTGTCTTTTGCTCCTTGGCAACTGCTGTTTCATCAAAAGCATTTGTAGGAACACATTGCTGTCAGGCTAACCTTTGCCAGGAATGTTTCATAAGTCCTAGGTGGTTGATGGGTGATGGCTGATGGGAAGAGCAAGGAGAGAGCCCAGGAGAGCCAACACTTCACCTGGCCAATGGAGACCTGAAATTAATTTTCCATTTCCCAGACTTATCCACTAACAACTGACTTGCTGGACACGGTGTGTCTGAGGGCTGTTGTTTCCGAGCCAGTCCTAGCCTCGGGCTTCAAATTCACATATCTGCTCCTGAAATTGTTTTCTCAGGTCTTTCAGTGGTGTGATGGGTATTGTTCTGTCCAACACAACGGTGTCCCGATGTTAAAACATTCAAACCAAAACCAGAACAGCACTGATTAACACCAGCTGATTTGTCTCAGGGTCAAGTAAAGCTTCTGTCAACAACTTGAAAAAAAAGGATCAGGTCAAACCTAAAACAGGCCATCCTGTCTGGAAAACAACTTGCTGCCTCTCTGATAACCTGAAAAAATATTTTTTCAGCTCAGCTGCATTTTTCAGATGCATTTTATGTAGCTGCTCATGTAACTCCATGTGAAGATGAATGAGCCCAGATGTGATCTGAACATCTAACATCCTCCATTCATCCCCTACCCCATGTTTTTTTCCAGCCTCATGCTAAGACAGTCTCTGATTTCACAGGCTGACAAAAGAACGGAATAAGCATTTCCTAGGTGATGACAAATTCTAATTAAATGTAAGTGTTGGAGCTATTGCTTAGACTATAAGCTCTTAAGAGCAGAGTGATCTTGGTTTTGTTTTTGCTTACACACCCCGAGTTCAAGAGGGAACTGAGGTTCCTATGTGCCATTGCTGCAAAGCTTCTTCTTGTTATGCAGTGGCTGAAGCATGAGCTTTGAACACTGACCTTTGTTTTGTACATGCAGGTGAAGGATGTTGTGGGTTATGATGCACTGGGCCATTGCTTCTTTACGGAGGATGGCCCAGAAGAGCGCAACACATTTGATCACTGCCTTGGACTGCTTGTTAAACCTAGCACTCTGCTCCCCTCCGACCGAGACAGCAGGATGTGCAAGCTCATCACGGAGGGCGCTTACCCGGGGTACGTCCCTAAACCCAGGCAGGACTGTAGGTGAGTGCGAGCCTTTCTTTTCTTTGTAGGACTTAGCCATAAAAGACAGCATTACATGTATATGATTATGTAGTCATCTGTAGAGGTCTGGGCTGCATGCCCCAAAGGTTGGGAGAGCAATGTCCTTGGGATCTTTATACTTGTGCTATTCAGATGCCTACACACCTACAGGGTCATTTTCATTTTTAGCATAAAGTCAGTCGAGATGGTTCCTGCCTCAGATATTGAAAACCCCTCTTTCAAAGTACACAGTGATGCCTTGTGCCTTACGAAGTCTTGATCCCAATGGCTTAGCAAAAAGTTTCTGAGTTCAGAGCGGGCTGTGTTCTGACAGTCATGCTCATGTCAAATGGTTGCTGGTTTTTGAAATACTCCCATTAATTCAGAGGTCATTATTTCTGAAGAATTGATACTGTTTAATGATACTGCATTAGCATTATGCATTCATTTGGAGCAGTCTGACCAAACTGTGGAGCGATACCAAAATGATAGAACAAATGCAGTTGAGCAGAGAATTGGAACTTGACAATAGAAGATCAAAGTCTGTATACACCCATTGGGTCACTAGCGATCTGTATATACATTAGCTCATCAAAATGTTTCGATGAGAACTTCTCAAAACTTCTATTTGCCACAAACAAGGCATTAAACTTGAAAAATGCCAAATACCTTTCCTCTCCCTTTTTACAAGATCCTTTCTTCTAAGTGTCCTTGCAGATCTGTCAGCCAAGGTTTAGATGAAGATTATAGAATCATTTGCAATACGAAGGGGTTTCACAAGTTCTTTTTGCAGTTCTGTTGCCTTGTAGAAAAAAAATCAGGTGAAATACAGAAGAAGCATTACCAGCTTGGCCACACGGTTAAGGGTTAGAATTTTTTCTTAGAGGAATTCATGGGCTCTTCATTAGCAGTAATTTTTAAGCACAGGTTAGAGAAATGCCAGGCACAAATACTGTAGTTGTAGTTGACCCTGTCATATGGCAGGGTGTGGACTCACTGAGCTTCTGAAGGCCATTCTAGCCCTTCTTTCCATGATTTTCCAGCTGGTTTTCTGCCCCAAAATCAAGGTGCACAACCTAGGAATATGATTTCATTGCTAATTACTGGCTGTTCAGGGAACCTACACATTTTAATGCGTATCAGGCAGCTAATTAGCTTTCTTTTTCTTCCCTTATAACCCCGACTCTTCTTGAGAGAGTACTAAACTCTTAAAATAAAACCTGTGCTTAGCAGCTAGGCAAGCAGATCTCCAGCTGTAGTCCAGGGAGCATAGCAAGTGGTCTGGAGCAGATCTGTGGAACCGCATTGCTTTCAGACTGTTTTCCATTAAAAGCTGGATGTCAAGCTTGTATTTAAAAGTTTAAAATTGATGGTGGATCATCTCGAGGACAAGACCCCTGTGCAACAGATTGGGAGGTCTTCCATGGTGAAGATTTGTCTTGAGACCACAGAGCGTTGGTGCTAGTTGAAGCTGCTGGGAGATAGGAAAACTTCCGCCCGTAGTCCAGATTTTTCTCTAGGAATTTATTCTGCTATAGCTGGGGAGGGGCGGGGAGGAATCTACAGTCATAAAAAAGCTAAATTTCTGACCCACAAAAAGTCAGTGAGAAAGTCTCTGGAGCCAGACTTCCATCCTGAAAACGAGAAAGCTGATTGATGCCTAACAGCTAAAAATCTTCGGGGGATTTCTTTTATTTGGAAATAGTCTCAATCTGCTGAGACTGTATCAGTATCACCCATTCTGTCCTCAGAACAAACTGGGGTTTTGTCCAAAGAAACATATTTTTAGCTTTTTAGTTTGGCACGGGAAAGAGATGAATTCATGCAATGCTCTTTCACATCTGTGTTTGTTTATAGACTACACTTAATATCTCCATTCATAAAATAAGAGTTAATCAGCCGTTGTGCTCATTTTCCACTGATAATCCATTTAATAATCAGAGAGACATATTTTCTGTAATTTTGAAGACTGTTACATGAAAAAGCACTAGGAATGGTAGGCAGAGGTCTGACGAAAAGGCCCTACGGTACTTTGATCTGCCATGTCTTCCTTTATAAAAGAAGAGTTCAAGGTCTGATCAGAAAAATAACTTGTTTTGCACCGGGCTCATCCAGCCTGCAAGTACATAAATACACTAACACCACCCCTGGGGTAGTGTTACCCCTGCAGCCAAGGCAGCCAGCGCAGGGACGAGGGACAAGCACCGGCTGTGGCTCTGTCAGCTTGGAAGAGGCAGGCAGGCAGCAGCTGCCAGATACTAAGACAATAGGATTGTGCCAAATGACACAGTGACCTGCCCAATCCACACGGCTCTGAAGAATGGGATTGGGCCAAAAGACAGGTTGCTGTGGAAATATAATGTCCTTGCCCTTGCCTACACAGCAGGAGGTAGTCTGTAAATAATCTCAAACTGTTTCTTTCCAGACCAGTCCCATGCCCAAAATAGAAAACCTTTTCTACGTTTTCATGATAAAGTCACAGAAACGGAACTTCATCTTAGGCCAGCAAAATCAGTTGGCCTAAAGCCCCCATAAAGTCCTTCGTAACAAGATTAAAATAGACATAAGTGTTCTGTAAGTTCATCCTCTGCAGGAGGGTGAATCTCACCCAGCAAATCTAGGGAGCCAGTCTGCTGGTTCTAAGTGCTGGATGTTTTCCTCCCAAAGTTCATGTGCCTGTTGGTTGATGAATGCTGTCTGTCACAGGATGGACAGTGATGGATTGTTCTTTCCTCCTTGATGAGAATCTTTCAATTAAGCATCTTTTATGTGCATTAGACAAATGGAATCCTTCTGTCCCAAAAGAAATGCACAGGAGGGTGGGAGCAAATAAAGTTAATGAATCACAGCAGCTTTTGGAAAAGGCAGGTGCCAGGGTATGTTTGGAAAGCCCTTAAGAGGCAATTCCTTGGATCCCTTGGTTAAACGGGTCTCTAATGAACCTGAGGGCTTATTTGGGGGCAAAGTTCTTTTCTGTGGCTTGTGCAACAACATATTTACCTTATCATAAAACATGACTGACATCTGACAGCTTCATAGCAGGCTTGGAATTGCAGTTGAAATTCCTCATTTAATACTCAGGGTTTTAAAAGATAAGGCCATGCTCTCTGTCAAACTGCAGAGGACACGTGGTATGAGAAGAGAAAGAAAAAACCACATTCCCTCTGCCCCCTAGGCAGGACCCCTTATCTGGGGAGTTATCGGCCCTGCCTGTACTGAGGGGAGTTGACCGGTGACTGGTGTGTGCTCAAAGTGTCATTTTTCATGTTATTCTTTGTTTTCCTGATCTGCAGCGCCGTATCCACCTTCTGGATAGCCAACCCACACAACAACCTTATAAACTGTGCAGCTGCGGGATCTGAAGTGAGTGCAGAAGTTTCTTATTTGGTAACAACTCAGACCGGTTACAGCCCTGCAAGGCTGAGGCTCTTGCTGGAATAAAACCTGCTTCTGTTACACGGGCATTTTTGAAACTGTGCAATTGAATTGTGTATTAATGTGACTAGTGCCACTAATAAAAAATAATGCTTCTCCTTTTGCTCCACACTTTTGTCACTTGCTGTTTCTAGAGCTGGATGGCTTTAACAAAATTTCCCCAGCCTTTTCACAGTGTGTAGCCTGAATAAATTAAATAAATGTGACTGTGGAGTCCCAGTGAAGTCTTTGGCAACGATTCTGTTGATTGCAGTACAGTAATGGTGCTCTGAAATTTCAATCAGCACCAATGCTAATTCCACAGGAATTCTTGGTCACATCAGGAGCCTTTATTTTCCTACTAAGACAAATAAACAAGTAAACCAAGCCTTAAACAAAGAGATGTGGTCTTTCCAGAGCTTCCAAATCTGAATACCTAGATTCAGGCTTCTAGATACATTTTTTGGCAGCTAAATAAAAATGATCTGATTTGTAAGATTCATGCATGCAGTGACAGGATGACATCAGCGTATATGTGCATGTGTGTGTGTTACAGATTTCAAAAGTCTCGCTTATAGCTTCAATATAGATGTCAAAGCTTAACTTCAGGCCCCTGGAGGATGCAGGAGTGTGACTGTGAATGTATGCGTGCTAAACTCTTCGCTGCATATAGTTATACAGGTCACTGCTGCTGGCTGTGATTTGTCCTGAAACCTTCTGGCTTACGTCTTGTGGCTTTAGTGATGAATCCTTGGGCTAATGTAGACCAGCAAAGAAGTGCAAGCAAAGTCAGATGTCCATTCTCTTTCTCAGGAAACAGGCTTTTGGTTTGTTCTGCACCATGTGCCGACGGGGCCCTCAGCGGGCATGTATTCCCCCGGCTACTCGGAGCACGTGCCGATGGGGAAATTCTCCAACAACCGCGCGCATTCCAACTACCGGGTGAGTCTGCACGCAACGGGCACGCTGCCCTCAAAAAAACCCACCATCTTTTCGCTTCAGCTCTTTGAGTCTGCAAGCTGTTAATGCCTGTGCTTTCTGTTTCACTAAAAGTTACTGCAAGCTTGTTTGTGTCTGCAGATAAAGCAGCTTGCGTGCTGGCATGGGAGCTCTCGGAGTCAGCCAGCACCCGCTTCACTTGGCTCTTGGGCATTCAGAGAGGCTCTTCCCTCTGCTCAGGCTGCTTCTCTGCTTCTGCACTCCTAAAATAGTGCCTCCAGGAGCATCTATTGGCAGCTTGTCTAATTATAGACCTCAACTGCCAATGTTAGCAATTAACTGAACAGCTTCTAGAGGGATAAATACGGGCCGCTGTGTCTTAATCGCCTTCTCTTTGCTTATTTACCCTTAGCATGCCGTGTTGTGGGGCTGCGTGTTACTGTCACTGAGTGCTTTAGGTGGCAGCAGGGTGTTCATGTGTATGGGCACATATGCATTTACAAGAGAGGTGCAGTTTCTGGAAGTTTGTGGCAATTTGAGGGGGTGGATGCAAGTCTGGATGGTCCTGGAAGCCCTCTGTTTCACATGCTACCAACAGAAGCAGTTATAGGATCATGTGAGTGACTTTGGGTTAGGACAATTGGATGTACAGCTTGGAGATGGAAAGAACTATAAAATGTATAAATATACCATAATTTTGCATTTCTCTTTTCTTTTAGGCAGGAATGATCATTGATAATGGCGTTAAAACCACTCCAGCCTCTGCGAAGGACAAAAGACCTATCCTGACACTGATTTCTGGGAGGTAAAGAGTTTTGCACAGTTTGGTTTGGAAAAGACTTCTCTATAACACTGATTGAAAGCTGTGAAATTGCCCCCAAGGAAGCTGATAAGAATCATTGCAATGCCTTTGGGATGGCTTTTATTGAAGAAAGGTCTTTGCTTAGGTTTACCGCTAACTTCATCTTCTCCATTCCCCTTCCTAAGTGACCCCCAGCACCCACATCCTTCTGGTTTTGTCCTTGCTTTTTAGCTCTGAGCTGAGCTGGCATGGATGTTACATCTGCTCCAGGGTGTTACATTGCCTCTTTTTTTTTTTTTTAGATAAGCAAGAAAATTAAATGTTGTCTGGCCAACAGCCCTGCTGGGCAGAACTTGCTGCAAGAGTTTCCCAGGAATAAGAAATTAAAGTGTTTCCCAGGAATGCTGTTGGTTTTCTTCATTCTTTTAGGACCTGCTTGAACAGGGAGTGCTTGTGTGATGGAGCTCACACTTTGATTTCAAACTGCTGTCTAGTTCCAAATCTGACACTGAAATAATAATTACACAGAGTGACCCTTCATCCCTGCTGCTGTGCACAACCTCTGTGCAGCATAATAGAGTCATTTAGGAATAGTGGAAACCTGTCTGTAGA